AAGTAGCCGTGGGCTATTACAGAATAGTGATTCTCACACGCCGTGCAATCAGTGTGCCGTAAAATTTTGACAAGGTATACATATATATGGGTGTGTGAGGGAGAGAGAGAGTAGTAGTAATGGTATAGCGTTAGTATTTGAATAAATGAATAAGTATTGAACTTTTTTAAGTTGAATAGAAACATTGAAATAAAGTTCATATTTGTTTGTGTATTTTTTAACCTACGGTTTCATTTCTTAAATGCATAGCCTTTAAACATTTTGCTAAGTGTGCTATTTTCATTTGCTCCTAGGTGTGCCATTGTTTTAAAATGCCGAGAAACACCTGTTGTGCGTGGTTATGAAACGTTGACTTCATTTCTAAAGTGGATGAACATACGGCAACATAAAAAAAAAGTTCAAACAAAACACAAAAGTCTTCGTATAAAAACACTTGCTATATATATATATATATATATATATATATATATGAAATTCTTGATACGACGTTGCATGTAATTGTAGTTACTTATTATGTACCGAAGAACGATATGAATTTTTGTACTTGTCTGTTTGGATTTGTCATAAGCTCGAAATACGTGCGTCCACTTACTTTGACTTCCCTGGATCTAAAGAAGCTGTTTAACTTACCCGCCAAACGATGTCTCGTGCTGGTCTCAGCGGGTCACATGACTATTTTTAATTCTAGTGAATACCTATATTTAATTTTTTATTAGGGTCCAGGGGAGATAACCTTTTATCTCTCGCAACATACTGATCTAGTACATAACACATTTGGGGTACAGAATTAATTTCCACTTTACCCTCCGCGACACGAATGAGTCCAAAACGGTAGATTTTATCAAAATTTCTTTGTTATTTTCGAAGTAGGCATGTACATTTACACCTGAATGGAACTATTCGGGAATTTTTTTATTAGAAACTGAGCGCCGGGCTTGAAATGCAAATTACCCTTTATTCCGAGTTGAAATTAGTTCTATCACCCACACATTTCTATTCTATGACATATTTCAACATAATTAGGAGTGAAAAAAAATGGAGGACAAATAAAATAGATAATGAAATGAAAATAATACATAGAGTGAAATGGAATTGTTTTAAGCTGCTTGTATATTTATTAACAGTGATGCCTTTCTCACTCTAGTGCCGTATCACTACGTATCCTTCCACCGTGCAATGTATCCCTCCTCCACGTCACGTATTCTTTTACCGCGCTGTTTGCGTCGTATATACGAGGCAGGGCCGGGGCATACTATCTCCCGATTACCCGACCGGGTGGGAACGCAAAACTGATTGGGGGCTCCGGGCAATACTTTGTCACTCTCGCTATATTTGCTTTTTTTTGTACCTAGATTACAAATTAAACTAAGCACAACTGACTATTAAAGGATGAAAAATTTTCGTGGATTTTGACTTCATTCTGTTTTATTATTATTATTATTATTATTATTATTATTTTCCGTCCAAATTCGTGAATTTGCTTTGTTCATGATTAATTTCGAAAAATAAAAACAAAAAACACTATATTAAATTCACTTTTATTCTAATGTTGAAGGTGTTAAAATCATTCAACTTTTTAACGAAAATCAAATAATTAGAAAACAGAAGCATTATTGAGGAGTGAGAACAAAAGAAAAGTAACCAGAAAGACAGTAGGTAACGATTGACTTTGCATTTAAATTTTTGAAGATAGAACCTGGCTGGAAAGCAAAGGGGCGGCGGAGTGTTCTAGAAGCGAGAAGTGCGAGAAGTGAAACTGCTAGCATAGAACTTATGGTTCCATTTAGCCAACTCAACTGTAAAATTGACTCCTTGTCTCTAGTCAAATACTGCACTTAAATTCATAAAATCTACGTACCATAGCAAAGAACTCATCCGAACAATCACCATGAAAGTATTTACAGAAAAGGCAGCGGGGGGGGGGCAACTTTACAGCGGTGGGAAAATGATCTAAGCCGAGATTCCAGCCCAGGATCAATAATATTGCTGATTCGTCTTTGGATCTTATCAAGAATCTCTAAATATATAACAAATGCACTGGACCATATGTGGCAGCAATATTCGAGGCTTGGTCGAATGGTAGACTTATAGATGTGTAAGAGATTCTAGAGAGAAAAATTGTCTAGTACGACACAGTGAACCAACTTTCTTAGCAGTTGACTTGGCAATAGATTCGATATACTCTTTCCACTTTATAACAACCAATAATGTTAACCTGAGATGGAGCAACGAGTGCACATGGAAGGTACAAAGGGATCTCTCAAATGATTTAAAATAGAATGATCTATTATGATATGTCTCTAATTTGTATTTAAACACATTGTATTTATTTTCAGTTTTTCTAGTTGAATTGTTCTCCTATATTGCATATGACCCATTATTGTACTATTATTTAGTTACAATAAAATTTCTATTTTATATGAATACTACTTTATGAAATTTGAGATATAGTAGAATGGTGGTGTATAATAGATTGAGTGGGGGAACGATACCCTTACACCGGTCCTAGTACCAGACAAAACAATCATAGATCAGGACTGTCGTAAATTTGGGGACTAGTTTTAGAGCACATATAGGAATTAAATCGTATATATATATATATATATATATATATATATATATATATATATATATATATATATTTTCTACCAACAAAATCCCATCAGAAGTTGTAGATCTATCACGTTTATTTTTTAACCATTTAGAAAATAACAATAACTCCCTTCGCCACTCCAAAAATTCGAGAAAAAAGATTTTCACGAGCCAGTGTGAAATTATTTTCTAACTAATGAAAACCTTGTATTCAAAAAGTTCACTATGTGAAATTAGATTTTGGATCATCCTTACGGATATAAAAATAGAAGCATACTGCTTCTCGAGGTTCAAAACAATTTCGGAGGCCAGTTTGATTTACATGTGCATACACACGTACACAATGAAAGAGATGAACCAGCAGCCGACTAAGCCATCATAAAGTAAGTCTGTCTACACATTTCGCACAGCACTACAAACATTTAATTACTTTATAAAAAAACTTCACTGCAAGGAAAATTGAACATTTTATTGTCATTGTATATTTCTGAAAAGAATACATAAATTTTATTTCAACTAATATTCTGCTTTTACTTTTCCTTCAGCGGATAAACTTTTTTTGTTTAATTTAAAAGATTTGTTGTTGTTAAATGTTTGGAATCCCGACGCTCATGTAGCAACAAAAAACCTGAGTAGACGGATACCAACACACATTTAATATCCTCTGCACGAGGTCAAAACAAGTAAAACGTGTGCAAGATTACACTGATCGCAGAAAATTCGCAGTAGACCACAAGAATATATTTTTGGCGTAAATTACTTATGAGTGAGAAAGAAAACAGCTATATAGAGAGAGATGGCGAGATTTCTTTCTTTTTCTTTTACTAAGGTGAGTTAAAGGGATTAATTAAATACAAAGGGAGTGACATATTGGTTGAATAAAGTCATCCCTGAACAAAACTGAATTTTTCTTACGCAATCATATACCGAATTTATTCTGATGAGCTCAAAAAACTGACTATTTGGAAAAACCCTGTGATGTCTCGTGGGCCGCCATATGACTTGTGGATAGTATTTTGTGCAGGTCTGTTATATAGGATAGATGTACAGGCCATCCAGAACAGTTCTCCCACTTCTGATACTAGTCCGAGAGGTTGGGGGATAACTTCGTATTTTTTATTATGAAAATTTCCAGCGAGTCTGAAATCATTCTTTTGAAAAAGCCCAGATGATGTAATTAGGGGATAAAAAGAGTCGAAATTCTAAGCGCTAGAGAGGTGACAGTTAAGAAGAGATGGCGTGGGGTCACTTACATCATACCAGCAAGAATAGCCTCGTGTTCACAGGAATAAAAACATACACAGAAATAACAAAGTATGTTAAATTGTAAATTAAAATCATACAATTTTATTTTTGCGCATTGGTGTGTGTGTGTGTGTTTTAGTTACAAGTGTTTTACGGATGCATGTGATAAAAGGAAGAAGTCACTTCGTATTATAACAAGCAATGTCTCGAGGAGAGGAGATGGCCGCCTTGACTTTTCAACGATCATTAGTGAAGAAACTGAATAGAGCGCCTTTTGGTGCGAAGTCCGTTTTCCAGCAGGAAATGTTTCTGTTGCATTCTGGGAGAACTTTTATTTTTGGTTTTATTTATTTTAAAGTTCTAATGTTATTTATTTTAATGTTATTTATTTATTTTTATGATAGTCATTATTTTTTAAATTTTATTTTTGTTTATTAATAATAATAGTAATGTCCCTGCAGATCCAGGAAAATAATCAACAAGAATGCTTGAGGGAGATTCGTGAAAAATAATTCTAGAAGAATATTTGATAGTCTTTCGTGAAGTCTACGGTGTATTTTTTTTACCGTTTTTCCTCACTTGCATGTGATAAAGGAAGAAGTCACTTTGTATTATAACAAGCAACGTCCCGAGGAGAGTAGATGGACATCTTGACTTTCCAACGGTCAGTAGCGAAAGCGAGTGAATTCACAGTTTTGGGCGCGAAGTCCATTTCCCTGCAGGAAAACTTTTCCGTTGCATGCTAGTAGAACTTATTATTTTAGTTTATTTATTTTAAACAAAAAATTTTAATGTTATTTTTTTAATTCGTTGTACTTTATTTATGATATTTATTATTATTACTATTTTATATTTTTATTTATTAATAATAATGATAATAATGCCCCTATTATGGAGTCACTTGATGAGAGAATGCAGTTAAGCTAAACACTATACTATAAAAAGAAAGGAAAAAATTGGTATCATGAAGGTTGATAGTAGAGAGAGCTTGAATATTGAGAAGAAATATCCCAGATACTGAGAATAAAGATGTAGTAGCTATTTCAGATAAGGAATCGGGAAGAACCCAGGTGGTTAAAATGAAAATAAGCACACGAGATTGACCACTTGTGAAAATGTAGACAATTTCGATGTCATGTGTTCAAAAATCCCAATAGAAATTGTTAAATGCAATAAGAGAGAAGGGGAGAGACAATCACGTACAGAAGAGAAATAAAAGGAGATATGAGGGAGAACATTCTCATGGGAGTTAAGCACGGATAGAAAGGTGGGTTATCAATGGTGTATTTCGCCTGACAGTAGAAAGAGGGAGTGAGGTAGCGAAGTACTATGAAAAAAGCAACGAAAAACGTTAAATATTTTAAATCATACCGTATATACACGCATAACGTGTGATGTTTATTTTGACTACAGAAAGACTGCCGACAAGGCTCGTTCGCTTCTTTGGTCCTCATTTGACTTTTGAACACTTACACAAGCAAAAACACACACGTGTATATCATACATGCTTGTCTCTCTCTCTCTCACACACACAAACAAGCACATTCTTCTTATAACTTGTTTTAATGTTTTTCTTTTCGTTGTAATTGTCCGCACCTATAATTCCTTGTAATGCATTGTCGCTTGTTTTACATTCATTGTTTTATGTTACTGATTTTTACCTGAACTCACGCTAATATTGTTTCCGTGACAAATTTTCCAGGGGGCCGTAAATATTTACTATCCAGTGTTGATTCTTGCAACATAAATGGCGACTAATATTTACCCAAACATACTAGTATACTGCAACAGGTGCCTCCGAAGATTCGCTTAGAAGTGAGCATACAATGTGAGGAAAATGACCAAAACAATAGAAGAAGGGTTTTATCTTCGTCAAAATCTTTGTTAGTCTTAAGAGAAAGGACCAAGGCAATTTTTGAATATTAAATGATATATGTGTCTATATTTCTGAGATGATATATTTACACTATTTACATTTTAAAGGGAAATAAGCGAAACTGAGATATACAGAAAAGCCATGAGACGTGAAACTATAACAATCTACCCCGGTGGATGAAATAAAGGCTTCAGTTCGAATTTCCAACATATATCACCTGATGAAGGTCGTAGCGTACAACGCTTGAAACGCCGTCAATATAGCAATAAAGACAACATTCCAGACAATGTAAAAGGTGCAAATAGATAAAATTATATTTTTTATCCTTTTTCGAACATTCGAAATTTTGGTTGGAACTTTTCGTTTTTCTTACATCCGCGGACAACCAAAGATTAGTCTAGGAAATTCCAGCGGCATATATAAAAAAAAAAACAAAAAAACTTTGATTTGGAAATTCTTGCGAGAATCAAATTGTTGTCGGATTTTAATGAAACTTTCAGAACTTATTCACAAATGCGTGAAATTATTTTAGAAATGTTTCTTTCTTAGAAAATCTTGGTAAAAAAACATTTTTTATCTGTTACCCCCTTAATTAATTTTAGGAAATTTCGAGGAATTGAACTTTGAGGCGCTTAATGTTTATATTAGAAAAGGGAAGTCGATTGACTATAAAGTCGGTATTACACGACCAAACTAGCGACTTGTGACTGAAAAAAAAAAAAAGGAAAAAAAGTGACACAGCTCGGAGCTGGGGGAGTGTACTGTGTGAGTTGAGAAGTGATAGGCGTGTTGATAGACGTGCCAACGATCAAAGGATTGCTCCGACAGTAGGTGGTTTACACCATAAATCCATGTTTGTGTTTATTCATGTTTTTTTTTTGTGAGAGGCGTTGCCACCTTAGGACCGACGAAACAAATCGTATCTATCACACCTTTTATAAAGCATAAACAAAACATTAGTTTAGCTACAGAAACCCGAGGTATTCCTTAGTATTTTTTATCTTTTTTCGTGATGGTGGTGGTGGGGCATTTCCTACAACAAACTCTGCTCTTAATTTTTGATTGATTTATCAATCCATCGACGGTTATTTAAAGCCGAGACATATTTGGATTATAACAATTTTTTTTTTAAATAATTTCATCCTGAGTAAGGCAATAAAGCGATTAAATCGAAAATGGTTACCGAGTATAAAAGGATATAAGAAAAAGAAAAAAAATATTAACGCGCGAGAGCAATAAAAGAACAAGAATCAACAAAACTATCAAGATAACAATTGACATTGCATTTAAATTTTTGAAAATCAAAGTTGGCTAGAAAGCAAGAAGCCGGAAGGAAGTTCCACAAGTGAAAAGTATGAGAAAAGAAACTGCTGTGAATTTACAATTACATCTAGCCACCTCAACTATAGAATGATGAGGAATAAATAGGTTCACTGATCGTCTGATTCACAATCTTCCCCGGTCTTTTAAACCGGAATAGAGGGTTGCCCTTTGCTTCCTGATTAGGATTGGTTTTCCGGTTCCTTATAAAGTCCTTTCCTGACACCAATATAACTCCACACAGTAACTTTGTAATCTTGGGCCTTGTATTGGGTGACTATTAGTTTAAAACAAAAAAAAACAAAAAAAAAAAGAGCAGAGAGATATCTTGCTACCAATGTAGTACTCTGCTTAAATTAATAAAGAAAAAGGCACATGACAGCTCCGTCATGGTTGTGGGAAAATAACTGAAGACGGGATATTCCATTAATAATTTATCATAAAAGTTATTTTCTTTTCAGAGACAAGTCCTACTATTTAACCCATAGCTGGGAGTAAGAGGAGATGGATTCATACCTTTCCTAAAGTATTTGTGCGTGAATGAGTGTAACGAACCAGACTGGAATTCGAACTCAGTAATTAACCACTGTCGATTACATCATCAGCACATTCAAGCACTTAAAAAGGTGACCTAATTATCATGACCTGAAATGGTTATAAAGCTGAGTATATGGGTGAGAAGCCATTTTTTTTTTCATGGTGATTTTCTTAGATGTGGCACAAGGCCGAAAGTATGAGGCAACTGTCATGCCTCATATTTTCTACCTAAACACGATGTTGACCACTTGACAACTCAAAGCAGACTTTGTAAATACATTTTCTGTATATACACCCACTTTAATCAAAACAAAATTAATATGACTAGTTAGAACCATTCCCACACAAACAAAACCATAATTTTGAGCCAACTAAAAACTATATATACCCAAATTTAAACAGACCAAGGTTTGATGTTAACACTGACACTGAGAGCAAGATATATAACACAGATCAGCATCTGATGTAAGCACCAATATGCTGATAGAGATGCTACTGATGACAACAGCGACCAGCAAGTATCCATTTCACTTCAAATATCACAACTCTCTCCTTGTTGCCTTAGCAACAGCTAGAAGTTACCAGTCTCTATAAAAATGTAAATAAATTGTACATTGACTTACTCCTACTCAATGACCTCTTTTGTTTGACACTTGGATTTACGAGTGCCAAGATAGAAGAAAGAATTAACCTCAACAATAGTAACAACTGGGTTACCCATTTCCGCTTCTGCAAAACAACCAGTGAGAGTTGAACTCATTATTCAGTTGTAAATGATCTAGCGAGACAAGCTTGCTAATGTTACACTATATTGAAGTGACCCAATTTTTTTTTGTATGTAACCAAACAGATTTATATTTATATATATAATAACTAAATACCCAGCATTTGCAGCCCTACTCAAATAATAAAATATAAGTGAGGTAGACAATCTAGTAGTGAGTCACAGCTGAGGGTGGGGCGAGAACAAAAGATATTATCCATTCTAGGACAAGGTCCATGTAATCAACAGGGAGCATCTCTAGGATAAGGAAGTTGGAGTTGGTGCCATAAGGATTTCAATACAATGCAGTTTCCTTTGCTTAGCAAAGTAAATATTGGGAACTCCACCAGGAATAATTTGGAATTGCTTAAATATTTGGCACTTAGCAAAATGGATTGATTTTATCAGTATATTAATGATTAATTAATTTTTTTTCCATCAGAAAGGGGTTAGTTTCTTGGGGGGAGGGGGTCACAAAATGTACCTAATATAGGTTGAAACATTAACACCAGAACGTATAGGAAGAATAAACTCAACTACCCAAATAATGTTGACTAGATTTCCAGTTTCAACTATCAACAAAGACAAAATCTCTTGAGTAAAATCTCACATTATTACTATCTTTAGCTTACATTTGATCATGTTAAGCAATGTTGAGGCCAGTCATTACTTAGATTGACGGGTCGCTTGGGAACACTGAGTAGTGTAAGCAACCTCCTGCTATCAGAAATATGGTTTGGTTTTAAATAACCCACAAACGGTTGAAAAGTCATAAAAAACAAAGCACTCAATCCTATCATTAGAGTTGTGTTTGTTTGATGACATTTTAAGTCTTCTCTTACTTGAATCTCATGAATTTGAACATCGAGATCTTTTCAAAAAGAAAGTTTGTTTTGTTTATTTTATTTTATTGTTAGTTCACTTGATACGAGGCCCAGATGCTACTCAATGTCCATTGCTACTGATTAAAGAGACCACAATCTTGCTATATATATATATAAAAGCAATGCAACATTTCATTAATATTAATGTAATATTGTGTGGCAATGCAATTCTACACATCACCAGCTGTGATGACATCCAATGTCGGCTGTATGTGAATACAGATTATTGAAAGGTTTACCAGGTGTTCCAAGAAGTGCTTCTTGGAACACCTGGTAAAGAATGTTGACTTTTAAAAAGTTTTTATTCAAAGTCAGTCTTATACCATCTGTAAATAGGGACCCCCCCCTCCCCATTATCAGTACACTGGCCTTGGAAGAAAAAGCAAGAATTCAGTCTTCAGTTAGTAGATTTCGTTGAGATGTGGTAGAGTATATTTAAATGTTTTTCACCCATTTTTTTCACATCTGCACTTATAAATTATGCAAAATATACTCCAAGAAAAGCTTAAACAGATCAGGACTTAATGAATATAATAAAATTGCATTGCAACTTTCAAGTCAGAATTTTCAGGATCAATTTATTCTTACAAATTATATGAAATTGAATCGGCAATACATCCTAAAGTAAATGTCTTTTGGAAGTATAAGCAAACAAAAATGCATTTATATACAGTGCTGTTCAATAAAAGTGACTCACCTGATTTTTTTTAATAAATGTTTTCTTCTCCGATGAAACAAAAGTTGAGCTAAATTCAAACGATAAGCGATCTAAAATCCAAAGAAGAAGCTTTGAAAGCTTTTTGAATTTACTGTCAAGCATCTGTTCATTATAATGTTTTGGGGATGCTTTTCTTTTCATGGAACTGGTTTCTTAAAACGTATTGAAATACCCTCAGGAGGGAGCAGTACAAGAGAATTTTACAGTCTTGTCTGCTCCGTTCTGCTGAAAGGGTGCAAATCAACCCCACCAAGCTCATTTTTATGCAGGATAATGCTCCCTGTCACAAATCAAAATTGATGAAGGAATACTTTGATGAGAAACAGGTGAGTGTTATGACATGGCCGCCCCAGTCTCCTGACCTCAACCCCATAGAAATCTGATGGAGCATTATAAAGTACAGGCTCTCGAGAAAGGAATTGAGCAACATGCTCCACAAGTTTTCTATGGGGTTGAGGTCAGGAGATTGGGGCGCCCATGTCATGACACTCACCTGCTTCTCATCAAAATATTCCTTCATCAATTTGTGACTTTGTGATTTTAGATCGCTTATCCTTTGAATTTAGCTCAACTTTCGTCTCATCAGAGAAGAGAACATATAGTAAAAAAAATCAGGCGAGTCACTTTTATCGAACAGAACTGTAGTTAAAATCATTTCAAAACAATCTTTACAAAAAATAATTTTATTTAATTTTTCTACAAACTTTTAGAAATGGTTGCTTCATTTCCTCCAATTTAATTATAATTGAATTTTTTATTTCATTATTAGAAAGATTATTGACATGATCTATCATTGAAGTTAACAGTTCAAGCACCAATGCAATATGGAACTTGTCAGTCATAGAGGTTGGCATGTCTTCTGAAGACACATCTTCAGTGCTTGCCCCTGTTCCTGCATCTTCATTTGGATTGAACTCAAGGGTTTCAGCCCTAGAACTTTCTGATTCTTCATCTTTGGTAAGCCCATGTTTCCTTTTCTTTGGAACCGGATGAAACATAGAAAAGTGTTGGTTGAAAATAGCAATGAGCTCCACAAGAAACAAGAAGATTTTGCCAGGATTTAGATGCTCGGCAATTTTTAAGAGAAGGTTCATAATTGAAAATATTTGGTAGATAAGTAACAAAGCCAACATCGGGCTCAACTGTGAGAGAATAGCTGGTGACAAAAGAACATCCTGAAAGGAGACAAAAATCTTAATGATAAACTAAGAACAATTAAAACTAAAATTACAAAACATTTGTTAGGTTTCATGGGAAAATAAAAACATCTTTTGGCATAACATTGTAATCAAAATATACATTGCAAAGCATGGGGTCTGGAATTAATAATCAACAGAAGTGGTCACTTGCTAGATCACAAGTCATAAGCATAACAAAGCTGAAGTAATTAGAAAAAAATATTCTCTATGAGTAAAGACCATCCTTCTTCATTTGTTTAGCAGCATATCAACATCCTTATGGGTCGTTTAATGCCAAAATTTAATTTTCTTGGGAGCATTAGTATTTTTTTTTTTTTTACAAAAATGTGTTGCTAGTATTTTTAATATAAAATTTTTTTCTACTTTCATAGTATTTTGACCAAAGTTTGGGGTTAATTATTTACCCTAAGCTGAGACCCCTGATCAGGGTGGACCTGGGAACAACAGCAATTAAGAGCTGGTTCCATGCTCATCAGAATCTCCCAATCAGAAGCTGGATGCTGGATGTAGTTTATCGTCATACCCAGGACAACATTTTTCTTTGAATCTTGTGGATTGGAGAGAAAGAGATTAGAGAGAAAGACATAGTAACCATGGTGACTGCCAGTTTCATAGCTAACATGAAAAGTTTTAAAGATACCAAATTAATAGAATAGTCTTCTTGGGTACAAATTGATGAACCTTACACTCATCCTGGGTTAGAAAACATTTATGAAATCCAGCTGGATCTGCTTCAAATAATATCAAAGTTTTCCTGTGACGTGATCAGCTTGTTGCACTTTTGATCAGGTGTTCAAAGACATTGAACCCACAGAGCAGAAACCTTCATCATGCCAAGTTCATTGTGCAAAATATTCTTAATTCTCTTATGAGATATGCTAATAGTAATGGCTATTTGATTTATAGTCAATCACCTGTCATCCATCCACATGCGGTGAACACAATGTTTTCCATCAACTGGGTCATCTTCAAGACTCTCCTATGTAGCTGCCCACTTTTGCACCGTTGATAAAGCTGGGGCATCATCCCCTAATGTAGAAACCCTGTCAGCATGAATGTCTTTAGGGGCTAAATTCTTTTTTCTGAGAGTACTTGCTAACACCATGATGTCAAATTTTGTACATTTAAAAAGACGATGCTGCTAGTTACTTTTGAAGTCTTCTTTGAACAGTCAGATGTCAGTCTATCTGGAATGCAGTTATTAATAAGATGATTTGAAATTAATACCTGCAATATTTTACAGTTCTAGCAACACGCTTCTATCGTCTGTCTATGAAGTTTTCAACCTGCCCTTGTAGTCAAAATTACCCTGCTCCCAATTAATAGAGTGGGAGTGTGGTAAGTGTAATTAGATGAGAGAAGAACCCTCATAAGAAAACAAAAAGTATTAAAAAAAATTATCACATGCCTCTGTTCACTTACCTTGGTGAAAATAAAGACATTATCAAAGACATACTGTAGAATAGCAGTGTCAAGCCCAACCTGCAGAACTATCACATCCAAAAACAATTGGGATAAGCCAAGGTAACTCTTTAAAACTGGAAAATAATGAAAAAAAAGTGTTTAGAGAACTGAAACATCTTAAAAAATATACATAAATCAAGATCTAAACAAAGTCATTGAAGGCCAATGAATCCTGTGACACAACTGGCCTCATGGAACAATAAGGACAAAAGAAGGGTGAAAAGTTGCAGAAATAAACAGAATGAGGTTGAGCTGAAGATTCAAATGTGGAATTAATGCAGAATTTACCAGTATAAGTATAATATTCATCCTTCCAGTTATCAGGATATCATTATGACAGCACTATCAAAATTTGCCAGTAACAAAGAGGAAAGCACTTGAACATTTTTAAATACAAATTATGTTAGTATTCTGTATTTTAAAATACACCACTTCTGGTGTGTCATATATATATATATATATATATATATATATATATATATATATATATATATATATATATATACACACACACACACACACACACACACACACATCATAAAATATAGTTTTAAGGTATGCAATATTCATAGGTTAAAGTGCTCAATATCAGGGATAATGAATATGTAAATATAAAAGTGGACATTGAATTCAACATGCAGAGGCACCAGTCTGTGTCAGGCTTGATGACTGCATTTAAACATAAAATAGACTGTCACCTCTGGATGTTGACTTTAATATATATTTATATGGAAAAAAAAAAAAAAAAAAAAAAAAAACAATTTTCTGCTCCCATGAGCCAAGACATTATCAACCATTGAAATGTTTGGATATGACTTTTCTGATAGACTTAATTTCTGAGCCTGATTATAAGGACATTGTGTCATATTCAGTGTAATAAAAAGTAATTGAAGACAACTTCAAGAATATTATTCAATGAAAAGAATAGAATTTGAAACTGGAAACAATTCTGAAATGTGGCTTGAAGTACACAGGCTCAAATATGAAGCAGTAGCTACCTGATTTTATTACTCTTCATTTATGACCGAATGAATAGTCAAAATAAATGGAAATCATTAGATAAAGTTACCTTCATCAGTGAGTTAAGAGGATGCTGCATTCCAAGATACCAGGTGGACAACCAACAATTCCAGACATCACCTAAAACTGCCCTCAAACAGACCACACACTTGCTGCAACTATAATTTTACAAGGCAATACCAACTTCAATAAGTTTTCCACAACATTCATTCAGCATTTCTCACCCATTTATGAACATGTCTGCTATTACTTCAACCTATTAGCTTAGACACTCAAAATATTTTGAGTAAACCTTTGCTACCTTATTCTTTTCACATAAATTATATTAGTGAATTAGTGCTTTCTAAGTTTAAACAACTTGAAAAATGTTTGCTCATCTACAAATACTAGTTAAAAATAAAATCCTTGCATTCACCTTGATGAATTCCCTCAGAGGATGAAACACATTGGCTAAGATAAGTTTTCCTTTTGTCTTTATACAAACATTATAGTAAATAAATTCTTTCCAGTTCAAATTCGCACTAACATTCTTTTTTATTTCTTGTCCAACTAAAGAGATAAGCTTCCAATATTATTTTGTATATGGGAAAATTCCACATAATATATTTGATCAATGAAAAGTCCAGTAGATATTAATTGCACTCTCCAGACATCAGAAAAAGAAAAATTTTAAACAGTTTATATTTGGTTCATTGGGCAAATGTAAGTTGAAAGGAAGGGAAACAAGCCTGCTCTTGCTGCTGCTTGGAACTATCCATTAAGTTTGGGGAGGGGAAATAACTGAATTAGATAACCTTATCAATCAGTGCCAGACTGATATTTGCCTTGCAGACCAATTCACTAATATCTTAGATAAATCCTCAGAGAAAGAGTATGACTAAAAGGTGGCCTTAGGCGCAGACTAAGCTATGTTTGGTAAGTAAATTTATCTCTGTACTAACCAGACAAATCAAGGCATGGAATGGAAGGCAGAAAGTTTGCTTGGAACAGAACAATGAGCTGATTGTTTTCAAGAAGGTGCATCAGGAACTGACAGACCAGCAAGCCTTCTGCAGGCAAGAAATTTGGAAGAAGCTGTTAAGAAAAAAAAAGAAAAAAAATCATCTCTTAAGCAAAATTAAAAACATACATCATGACAAGACAGAGTACATCATGGCACTGAAAACAAAGGACTGAATAAGTAATTAAATCAAAGCACTTAAAATTAAATTATTTCTTCATATACAAAGAAGCAAAAATATGATTCTCACCCTCGCAAGTAAGTTCCCAACTAGTGTCCAGTTGGCAGACAAAAATAAAGGGGCACGTAACTTAATACAGAACCCAGCATTCATGGCATAATGATGGATATTTATTGAGCACAGTATCCACACCAAAGTCAGGACTTAGAGAATAGGCTTGCCCAAGTAGCAGAATGGAATGGCCCAGTCTGTTATATAAACTATTCACCAACTGTAACCCAGATAAGTTATTTAGAACAGACTCAACTTCCAATACAGTCAAGTACTGTCTGTTTCTCAAACTAAATTCTACAATATACTAAACATTATCAATATGGTTTGATTGATAGATTCCTCAGCCTTCATCAGTTGTATAATTCTTAGAGAAACAACATAAAGGAAAACATATTTCAAAGAGGAAAAAAATGAACAACCATGGAATATACACCTTAAAACAGCTGAAGAGAGGATCAGCTTAAACATATGTTTGGTTGCTTCTTTTGTTTTGTTTCACAGCATACCAACCTCAATGGGTTATTTAATGCCAAAAAGATTTTTATTGCTGGTAATATTTTTTTTTCAAAAATGTATTGCTGGTAATGTATTGCTGGTAACAATTTTTCCTCAAAAATTTATTGCTGGTAATAATTTTTCCTCAAAAATTTATTGCTGGTAACAATTTTTCCTCAAAAATTTATTGCTGGTAACAATTTTTCCTCAAAAATTTATTGCTGGTATTAAAACCTATTTTTACACTTTCATAGTGTTTTGATCCTACTTTGGCAGTTAACTATTTGCCCATAGTTGGGACCCTGACAGATGCTACCACCCTGGGCGGGTTCGAAGGCTATATTTTTGGCTGGGCCTACGGGCTCGGATTACCCACATTAAATTCGGCCTTGTGCCACATTCGATCGATAGCTAAATATATCTAGAGTTAAAGCAATGTTTTATTTTCCAAACATGGTCAGTACATTGTGGCCATGTTCTTAGTAAGGAATGTCGGCTTTTCCTTTTTTATTAAGGGTTCCATAAAAGTAGAATTATTAAAAAAAATTCAATATCAGCTATGGACAATAGTCACTATGTCTTTGGGGAGAAATGTAGGAAATGTTCAGCACATTGTGTTAAATATTATATTTTATATACATTTTCTGTAATATTATATTTTCTATAATAATATATTTTATATACATTTTCTATAATATTATATTTTATATATATTTTTAGGTGTGCTGTGCTGTGCTGATTGATAAGTGATTTTGCAAATGTTATTACTGACCTGTGCAAATGCTGTAATAACACAATCACGACTGAAGAGAACATAAGGCGGCAAACAGTGCATGATGCTGGTGCAAAGTTCTTCATCAATACTTGCAAGTCGGAGTAAATGAAGGGTTTGTTGAAGATCTGAAAGAGATTAAGAAATAAGATTAAATAAAATGTACAAATGTCCCCACCCCAGTGTACATACAATGTGTGTGCGTGTGTGTATGTGCTACTCTCTCCTTCCCTGTGTGTGTGTGTTCTTGTGATGTTCTCATGCCTTTCTTATTCGCATATCTGTCGTTCTCTCCCTCTGTGTGTGTTTATGTATTTTTTTCTCTTCCCCTCTATTCTTGTATGTGTACATGCTGGGTGGGGGTGCATGCATGTTACTCTCTCCCTCTGTGTGCATATATGTATGCATGGTGCTCTCTCTTCTGTGTGTATGCATATTCCTCTATTCTTCTCTCTTTGTGTGCATGTGTGGTTCTCTAACTCTGTGCATCTCCTCTCTCTCCTTTATGTGTTTGAATGGGTGCACACGAATTCATTCATCACTCAAAGCCATGTAAACACTTAAACTGTCAAGGTTGGACAGAGAAGATTGGGTAGCACCGGCCCAGATATGACAGCATTACTCCATCGTTGGTCTGATCTGATTCTTGTAAAGATAAAGCACTGCAGCAGGAGTTCAGTATTTTCTGAAGAGTTACAATAAATTGACGATTCTTCCAGCATCTTTTGCAATAACATTTCCGACATATCTGAATAAACTGAACCCTTACTCTTACTAATCACACAACAACTGCTTTCTGTAACCTATCTTGAGTGGCACTTGGGCCTTGTATAGAGTGAACATTAGTATATAAAATAATCATAAACATTTCAACTATATTCCTCTACCTTGGGTGGTTCTCAAGATTTGCAGTTGAAGAATTTGTGTTATAAAATTTGAAAAAAAATTAAATGATTATTTTTTTTAAAATTTTTTATTTTTAACCTACATAATTTTTTTTTAACAGTTTTCAGTTAGTTAAAATGAACATAAAGAAAAAAAACAGCACTTACCACATGTCTGTGTGATTCCATGAGTTTTCAAGAAAGACAAGACCATTTTATCACTAAGCTGAAATAAATTAACATTAAAAATATTTGGATGCATTACAAATAAACATTGAAATAAAACAAAATAAGAGAAAAGTGAAAGAAATGATACAAATAAAGCAATAACTTTTTAAATTAAAAATCTTAGCGGCATCTTTATTTTTCAATTGATAATGACATCTCTTAGAATTTTATCAAGCATCAACTAAATGTTAGCTGAGCCTAAAAACAAAAAGTTACTATCAACATTGTAAATAAATTAATAATTAAAAGCATCTTCATTATAATCACAATAAAATAGACATACGATAGGATAAAGAACAGTTAGGAAACATTTATAAATCTAGTATTTCTTTTATTAAAGCTTCAGAGAATATGATATAGTAAATGTTTTTTGGTATGTCAAGAAGCATTTGTGTGATGTGGAAAACCTCCAAACATAATGCCTATTAGACATGCGCGCACGCATTCATTATCAAACTAGAATTATGATACACTTAGACACAAATTATACACACAAATGATGGTTGACTAGTCAAATGCACATAAAACCTGCTTAACTAAGGAAAATCAAGCAACACAAAAATAAAAATACCGGAATTACTTTCTTCATATCTCATTCTATGATCAAGCTTTAATAAAAATGTTTCTGATTTGTTCTTTACAGATTGCAACCCATATTCAATCTGTATTTGATCCCTATATATATATATATATATATATATATTAAAAAGAAGAGAGAAACCGCAAACGTTTTTGATTGTAATGTAATGTTTTTCTTTTCATCTTTTGGAAGTGCTATCTGATGATCTGGCATCCTTTAAAAGGGTTCTGGTGAAATAAAATTATTATAATGGAGCCTTAAAGTGGTCTGTTTTTTATTTAATATATATATATATATATATATATATATATATATATGAGAGAGAGAGAGAAATAAATATGTAGGTACATTAATATGAGAGAGTCCTTAAAAAATTTTTTCTCAGAGTGACCAAGTCGGGGATTTAGAAAAAAAAAAAAAGTAAAAAATCTGAATGAATGTTGGTCATTTAGCCAGATTTTAGCAAGTGGATCAGGACAAGAAATTTAAAAGTCCAGAACTTAATGAAAAAAAAAAAAAAATTTTTATAAAACCTTGAATGGTGAATAGCAGTCACATAATGTTGTGGCCTGTTGGGGGCCAGAAAGAAAGACACAGAAGACAAAGATAGGTTGAACAAGTGTATTGATATAAGATATAAACAATGTAAGAGTGTTATTAGTCAACAGATAGAAGTGTCCATCCAAACTGTCAGGAAGTCTTGCAGGTTAGTATTTATGAAGGAGGAAGAGTTCATTCTAACATAGGTAGGTCACCATATCAGATAGACCAAGCAATATACAGTTAAAATTTCAGCTCACAATTCAACTAATAATTATCACACTACAGACTAATTGTTCCACTTCTGAGAAATCTGAAATAAGTGTTCAAACCAAAATTCCCAGCTTGCTGACCTTCAAACACTGCTCAGCAATGATCTGAATTATTATAAAACGCAGATTGTGTGTGTGTGTGTGTGTGTGTGTGTGTGTCTGTACGTTTATATATTGGATCGGATTTCCTACATTTTTCAACCGATTTCAACAAAACTTCACAGGACGACGTAAGATTACCTTGCGGTGGTCCTAACAGCGCCAAAAATTGGAAAAACACAATTGTTTTTGCATGAAATCAATTTGAAAACACGATTAAGAGGCATCGCAAGAATGAAAGGGGGACAGTTCATATCGAGTTATACTTATTATAAAACCCTGGTTGCTTGTGTGTGTGTGTGTGTGTGTGTGTTCGTTTTGTATATGTGATCGGATTTCCTACATTTTTCAACAGATTTCAACAAAACTTCACTTTTTTGAGGCAGGTAGTGTTTCTTATTGTCTTGCACACTTTTTTCTTCATTTTTACATTCAGAATGCTTTAAAAATTCCACTTACAAGACAATTGTTTATAATAAAATTCTATTCAATCGGTAGACTCATAACGATTGAACACAAGGTTTTTGTTTGAGTTTGGGTTTGACCAATTCGTAAAAAAAAAAAAAAAAACTAATTAAGACATGCATGTCCGTCAACCTTAAACAATAATCTTTGTCAATTTTATTTTTCAGTGTTTATGATGGTCGATACTTGATCTATCTCTTACTGTTACATCCCCGGGCAACGCCGGGCTCTACTGCTAGTAATTACTAAGCTTAACTTAATTAGGCACAAAGAAAGAAGATTGTATTGCTCCAGTCTTTCAAGTGGGGAAGGGCTGACAGTAATTAAAATAATCATTATGGCTTTTATCTGAGCTCAAAATCCAACCATTCAGGCCAATGTTAAACATGCAACTCTTTCAGCCACTAGGCATGCCATTGTTGTCCAGTTTTATGGCTGTTCATCATCAAGTGCTTATCAATATGGCTGGGCATCAACATATACATTTTATTTCATCTTGAAATGAAAGCAGAAAGCTTCGAATGGAAATATTTTGCCATTTAGTTTTAGGTATTGTATTTTCTTGGACACATAATGAGGAAGGAGGGCTTGGAAAAAACTTAACCTGAGGGCAAGAGAGATAGAGGAAGGCAGCTCACCATTCCACAAAAAAAAAAAAAAAAAAAAAAAACCCAGCACAAAAAAAATATTTTTTAAATTAAAAATGAAATCATTGATGACCAAGCTCATAAATCGACACACAAAAAAACAAAAAAAAAAACATACCTGTTGATCAGGCTCAGAATTTTGGTGTTTGAGAAACAAGAGTTTCCTCACACGTAGTCGCACTGTCCAATCTAAAACTGACATTTTGTGATTCAGCCACTCACAAATTTTGTCTGCAAGAATAAAAGAGGTTTTATTATTGAAACAAAGACCTGATACCACAGAACAGGAATATTGATTTAAATAAACATAGTTTTATGTTTTTTTTTTTTTAAATCTTCAATTGGACAACAGCTATTAGATAATGAGTCATGATCGTCTTATTTTTCGACCGACTCATTTTCCATACAGGCAGATCAAAACATCATTTATTAATTTTGGAAGCTTTATGCTTAAAATTATTCCAACCTGTACTATGCAAGCAGAAGGAGAATTTTTTAAAATCCTTGAATTTATTCGGAGATATGTGAACTTTATTTTTTCCTTTTTATGCTCCACTGGATCAAAATTTAACTTTATTTACGTTTTTTTTTTTTTTTAAATCGCTAATTTATTTGTTTTTTTTTCTTAATTTTACGTATTTCGTAATTTTAAGCATGTTCCAGTACTATCTCTTATCCAAATGAGTTATAAGTTGTCAACGATTGGCCCCTGATGATGCGTTGGCCGAAAGGCAGCCTAGGTCTGGTTATTTAAAAAAAAAAAAAAAATGACATAAAATCATGTTTATATATATATATATATATATATATATATATATATATATACACACACACACACACACATTTCAAAAGTCTGTGTCACATTCTAAGAACATATATCATAAACTTCAAATGGTAGCATGATTGAACTGGTCCCATTTAAAAGCTAAAAATGCCAAGTTTTCTTCTGTTAATTTAATTTTGATTCAATTATCTGTACACTACTTTTCCCAACATATGAGTTGGACGTTCCAGAGAGACTGATCACATGCTCCTATGATGGCCACCTAGGTCACCAGACCTCACACCATGTGATTTCTTTCTCTGGGAGTATGTGAATGGCTTCATGTAGGTACCTCCCCTTCCCAGAGACGTACATGGTCTGAAGACACTAACAAATTAAGCCTTGGCAACCATCGACTATGCTTGGTCATGTATGGCAAGAAGTGGAATATTGTTTGGGAGGGTGTTGCGTAACATGCAGTGCTCACATTGAACACTTGTAGAACCTGTATAGAGACGGGGAAATATTAGCTTTCAGGAAATATGCATTATGGTTTGATATCTTCAATAGTTATTAAGACATACAGTGTTGTCATGTGACACAGACTTTTTGAAACACCCCGTATATAAGAAGTGGTAGATTTTTATTAAGCCAACAGATTTTATTACTTGAATGTTTTTTGTGGATACCCAGATTTTAGTAGATTCCATCTTTTATTTGCTAAAATTGTATTCATTTATTGGTCTGAATATTCAAGAAATCTTATTAAAGAAAAATATACGCTCTCTGGCAGGATTTTCACCTGCATACCTCTGAGTAGAGGAAATATCATTAGATTTGATATGCTTTAGACTGTCTTGGCTACTAAGTGCATTTATAAGGCACTATACAACTTTGATCATCAATGTACTTCAATAAACATGATTTGATTGTTTATTACTATTTATTCATTATGTTGGAATGGTTGGCAAAACATTGGCTCATTGCCAATTGATTCAAACTTTATAAAATGGTAAGTAATAAAGATTTCCTTATCATTGGGTCACATATTTTAATAACTTAGTAAATGTTTATAAATTTATGAATAAAAACTGGCTTCATACTTATTACTTTATAAATTGGTAAATGATAAATATTGCATTGTATTAGTTTTTAGAATGTTGTAAATACAAAATTACTCTTGTACATAAACAATTTAATAAATAAATATTGTTTAATATTTTTGTTGTAAATTTTCAAGAACTCCCAAGAAATGAATAGATTCACTTTCATCATGTTTTGCTTTTATTTCAATTGTTATGATTGCTTTTTAAAAACAAATATTGCAAAGGAGTTTTGTCTGGTTGTTTAATAGCATATCAACCACTACAGGTTATCTAATGCTGAAATTTAAATATTTTCTATCCAATTTTATTTTTTGGAGATAATAAGTGATACAAGTTTTAGTGATACAAGTCTTCCTAATTAACCCATAGCTGGGGGGGAGATGTGGATTCATACCTTTTCCCAAGGGTATTGTGCATGTAAATAAACAAAATATTGCAATAATAATGATAAATATGAATGCTGGTCATTATTTTAAGAAGCATGCACGTACAAATGAAAAGTTTTGAAATTGACAACTTTTTTCCATTTCACTGAAACAGACATTAAACACTTCTTTCTTTTATTTTCTCACTGAAACCAAGTAGCGTCTCTGATATGTCTTTTTTTCAAAACAGAACAGTTAATTATTTATGAAGAACGAGTAGATTCTAAATAACTAATGGAGGGAGAAGTAGAATTATAATATGATACTTTTAGTGAAATATCAATATTCATCCCTACCTCATACCGATATAGGCTTTATTCAAAATTATTAAAAAGCTTTCTAAGGCATCAACTTCATGAACCAAAATAATTTGAAATTTATTTCCATTCAAACTCAACCCACAACCTTGCAGTCCCAGGTGTTAGGTAATTCTGTGAAAAAAATTCGAACAAAACAATTTTCTGAATCGATCACTTGTCAATTCCACAACCAGAATTATATATACATCTATTTATAAGTGAAAAAAAAAAACAGAAAAAAACAAAAAAAAAAAACAAACAATTACTTACCTGGTTTAGCGGGAAGGTTTTTCAAAATGATTTCTTGTAGAAGACCCAGAGCTGAAATAAGCAATGGCTTCAATTTCCAAAAATATTCTTTTTTGCCATCTTCTTTCCAGGTTTCTATTGAAGAATTCAAAGCATGACAGATTTGGACGATGACAACATGCAAGTGAAGCCCCTCAATGCAAGTTGAATGTTGAATCTGTTCACTTTCAAGAACAATGAGTAAAAGTTGGAGAATGAAAAATGGATTTGGTTGGTTGGCATCAAGTGGAAAGTTCAAATGGAGACGAGGCAAAATATGGAAATGAAAGACTTCGGGAACCATCAACAAATGTTTCGTTACCCCAAATTGCTTTCGGACTCCAATAGATACTGGCTGTAAAAAATTGAATAAAAAAATAATCTTGATTACATTTATATCTTTTCTAATAATTCAGTATCTTGAAGGCTGTAGAATAGACCAGCCAAACTGATTTAGGTAACTTAAAGGCTTCAAAGACTAAGTTATCTGACAAAAATTTGGAAACAATCTGTTCTGAAAGTGAAAGTTTTATAGTTAGTTTGATGGATTTTTCTTTATGGCTTATCAATCTTCTGTAGGTTATTTAAAGCCAGAAAATATTTTTACATTGTAAGAATTTATTGGAGACAATGATTTACTGATACAAGTCATTAATTAACCCATAGCTTGAGGGGAGAAGAGGTGGATTTTCATACCTTTCCCAAGAGTATTTGCACATAAATAAATAGAATGAACCCAACTGGAATTAGAACTCTGCTCACTGATTTTCAATTATGAGCCATTATCCATTACACCACCCATTCACCCACACATTCAAATTTACAGCACCTGCTATTCCCAGTGAACACACATGTAGGTACTGACTTATGTTTGTCTTGTTTAATGGCATATCAACTCTTAATGAGTCATCTAATGCCAAAGCAAGTAAGGTTAGGGTTTTATATTTGTGGATTATTATTTCGTAGTGAAGTTAATCTTTTTTTTAACATTATAGTTGTGTCAAGCGTAGTATTTATTTTTAGTATTTATAAACTGTACTTACATTAAAAAGTTGTTTTGGTAAATAGGAATGTTTCTTTCAATAATTTAAAAATGTTATCCAGATTGACCTTGGTAGAGATTTTCTCAGGTTATTTGTTTGGTAATATTTGATTCAGGCTAGTTTCAGGTTCTTACATATTCTCAGTATATGGCATACTGCATACTTTTCCTGGTAAGTCATGCACATTGGGGGCTTTCTCCTACTTTATTAAGTAGGACTGCATCATAGATGTGTCCCCTATACAGATTCTGGTCAATATCAATGCTTTTCTGGATAGTGTATAGCTGAACAGGATTAATGTTGCTTAACTTCAGTGATCATATAAAAACAGGTGTTTCAATCTAACATGGCTGTAAACTTTTTATGATTGGAAGGATAGAGAAAAATATATTTAAGAAATAATACATCAGTGTCTTACTTTGATCAGTTGAGTGACCAATTCAAGAAAGGTATTTTGTTGATTTTCATCCAGTTTGCCAGAATTCAGCACAGACTCAAGCACTGTGCCCAAAAGCGAGAGAGTTTTTACATCTTTTTTCTCTTCATGGTCTGTGTTGTGACTAGAGGAAGGAATCTGACAGGAAACAGGCAAGAACCTCAGCAGCTGAAAATAGGAAACAAAAAACAATGATAGTAATTGTGAAAAAGTTAGTCTTCCTATCAGTTGTTGTTTATAAAAATATTTTTCTTAAAACAGTTTAAGATATTGAATGAAGTTTCCTCCCAAACCTTTTGTCTTTGTATGTAAAGTTAACAGCTTGATTATATAACTAATTTTCCCTTTAGTTACTGTGCCAGCCATTTCTATTGTTGCTGCTGTTGGAAGTCTTCAAGTGATATGGTATCTGTTATTAGAGAGATAAAAGTTTGCTGATAAGACAAGGCAAAGTTGGCAGGTTGATGTTTCTCTTAAAAAAAAAAAAAAAAAATATATATATATATATATATATATCAACATTGTACTCAGTGTGAAAGCTGGATTTTAATGTGATAAGTACTGACACCAAAATTAAATTCATAGCTTTTTTTAAATTTTAAATTTGTTTCTAAAGATCATTTGTTCTACAGTGTGACCCAGATAGAAGAGAGATTTGAAAAATGGATTAGAAATTAATGTATTTATAATAGACCAAACCCGGATATAAAATATAAAGAGAGATTTTCTCTGGTCCCAAATTAGAGCCTTTGTTAATGTATTTATAATTAGACCAAACCCGGATATAAGAGAAACCCGGATATAAAGAGATTTTTTCTGGTCCCAAATTAGAGTGTGTTAATGTATATAAAATTTCCAAACCCGGATATAAGAGAAACCCGGATATAAGAGATTTTTTATCTGGTCCCAAATTAGAGCCTGTGTTAATGTATTTATAATAGACCAAACCCGATATATTAGAAACCCGGATATAAGAGACTTCTTCTCCGTCCCGACAACTCTCTATATCCGGGTTACACTGTACCTCATTTCTGCAGGATTTTGCTTACAAACTGACTTCAGAATTTTATTATTTCAAGAATAAATACAAATAAAGGATGACATCTTTTGTATTAGACATATTGAATGGAAAATATATCCAAACCAGAATTTTAATTATGATACAACACAAGCAAAATACACGTTTTTTTTTGCTGTATTTGATAAGTAAAAACTAAAACAAAAAAAAAATTCTAAAAGATTACAAAAATGGCTACTCAAAGAATAAGATCTGTTATAATTAAAAACAAAAAAAATAGATAAAAGTGTATATAATACCATAATACTGCTGGACACAAATTATAAGACAAAATGATTTGAATTTATTTGCATTGTTTATTGAAAATCGCACTAAAACTACTGCAGTGTCATAACCTATTACATCATAATATAGCAAAATTGTTCAGTATAATTTCCCTTTGTAGCAAATTAAGGTCTTATTTTTTTTTTTTTTTAAGCATTTCACCCCAAGCGAGGCGGGAAGCCACTAGGACGCAAGGGGTTACAGAAAATTTAGAGCAAGATCAGATAGGAGCGATAGAAGAAAGGATGAGGAGAAGGGTAGTGGATAAATCAAGGCAACTGGAGATGTCGATTGACATTACACTTGAATAGCTGGAGATTATAGCTCACAGGGAAACAGGAATAGGGAAGGGAGTTCCACAGGCGAGAGGTGCGAGACATGAAGCTATTGGAGTAGAAGAGACGGCTACATTTAGGAGTTTCGACAGCTAAGGGGTGAGAGCGGGATGCCAGCCTCGTATGGCGCTGGAACTCATGACATCTGGGAACCAGCGAATGCAGCTCCTCAGAGCAATTTCCATTAAAGTATTTGTAGAACAGGCAGAGGGAGGCGACGGCGCGTCAGTGAAAAAGTGAGTGTAGATGAGACGCCAGAGCAGGGCCAACTACATTGCAAATCCGCCTCTGGAGCCTATCAAGAACCCCCAGGCAAACAGAAGGGCACCAGACCATATATGGCTCCATGCAAGGGCAAATTGTTGATTTGTAGATCTGGAGGATCGACTAAGGGGAGAAAAAAAGGAACTGGCGCAGCTCAGGAGCCAACTTTCCTGCGGTGGACAAAGCAATTGACTCAATGTATTTATTCCATCTCAGATCAGCAGTCAACGTGAGACCGAGAAGCCGCAGAAAGTTGCTCTCGAGAAGTTGAGCATCAGACATTCTAATGGAGGGAAGGAAAGGATCTCTGTGGTGATTAATAGAGAGCAGTTTTGTCTTAGAAGTGTTGAAGCTGACCAGCCAATTCTTGCCCCAGTTCACAATCGATTGGAGGGCCCATATACATTTTGTAAAGCTTCAGTAAATTATAAATTTTATAAGGCTGTGTTATGAGGCTTTCACTGGTCACCAGAATGAAATTGCAATGCTACGATTTTGAACCTAAACATAATCTTCAAACCGGTTTCCTCAAAAAACAGTATTGATTTGGAAAAAAAACTATTTTGTGTCATTATTTATCATGTCAAATCCAAACTTTCAAATTGAGCACAACACCACGGTTCCAAAACTGACCTGCCCTAATGGCAGAGAATGTCACATACATGACAGAAGAAATTAGGGAACGACATTGTCCAGCAGTAGACTTAAAACTAATCACCATTATTCTATTCTGTTCAACTGAATAAATGTGAAATGGTGTTCCCGAAATGTTGTAGGCATTTACCAAGATTAGCATAGATTGGCACATGATCATGAAAATAAAGCACTTATGAAGGTCAGTAAGTGCATACAGCATACTGGTTACCAGCATGCAACATGCGATGTTGAATTCAAATTTCAGTCTAGGTAGGGTATAGGGTATAAATCCAACCATTCACCCTCCATCGAGGAGTTAATATCAAGGCAGACAGGGCTCTCCTGCCTGGAAATCAGTCTAGGAATAGGAGAACTCTCAATTCAAAACTAGTTGGGCATAGGGTTAGCAGCTCCACCTATAAAAACCAACTTACTACGGAAACTCTAGCAGCAACACTGAGTGTGGCTAGATTGTGACTGAAGGCTGTTGACTAATTAAACAAGTATGACAATCACTGACAAGCTTGATCCAAGGTTTTAGTTGTTGTAAGAACAATGGCTCTTGAAGCCAGCAAGTGACTTGCAATTGTTCTGTACAGGGCTTGGCCTGTTTTGTAATTTTTGTTCAGGTTGCTCATGTGCTTTCATGTGATGGATGAGACCAGAGCAGTTGCAGCAGGTTTTCTGACATCCCACAAGTTTAATTATTCTGAGCATAGTACTGATCATGATTTGTTAAATGGTCTACTAATATGACTCTTCTTGTGGCTAACAAGGTATGCATTGGAGAGACATACTCTACCACATTCATCGCACGTAGTTTGCTGCATTAACGATTTCCTATTTCCATGATGCATTTGCCCAACTCCCTGCATGTTTTTGGAAGATCTCAGTTCCTTCATGAATTATACACCTCCACTCCAATCACAAACAGCAGTTTCTCCACTCAGGATACTCTATATGGCAGGCTGCAACAGACTTTATTTATTTTTTTTAAACAGTTGTTGAAGTACTTTCTTGGTTTATGCTGGGCTGAATGTTGTAGAGCATTTCCTTAGATATTGTTTTCTTCAAGATAAATGACACAGACTATGGTAATGAGTAAAAATATATATATATATATATATATATATATATATATATAGATAAAAACAAGGACTTAGGCTTACTCAAAGAACAGTGTCTACAGAAAGCCTTCTACAAACTGTGTATAAGCCTATTGTGGCAAAAAACTAACCCAAAACCATCAAATCTTAAGTAATAAAACATGTGGTTTTAAAAAAATAATTCCTGGAAAAGAAAGTCCCACTTCATTTTTTTTTTTTTTATTTCTTGTTTCGCGGAGAAAGGACACAGACATGTCTGAAAATTTTGATTTACAAAAATCTTTTTAATCATGCTTCCATTTGTTCAAAAGGCCTAAAAATATACAAGAAATATTATTAGTCTTATTATCAATATTATTTATTTCTTTTTTATTAAATCTCTCAAATTTCTTTCACTAGCATACATGATAAAATATAGTTTTAAGGTATGCTATATTTATGGGTTAAAGTGCTCAACATCAGGGATAGAGTGTATGTAAATGTAAAAATGGACATTGAAGTCAACACCCAGAGACAGCAGTCTGTTTCCTGCTAAATTTAATCATCAGGGCATCATTAACCATTGCTTTATGATAGATGTCCCTTAAATCCATTATGTTTCATAAAATTTCATGTGACATTACAGAGAAAGAAAATCTATCACAACTAGTTGAAATATTAAGGCCAGAATTAAAAGCAGTGAAAATGTTTACCTGAACGATGACATCCACTTGACATGCATTATTAACTGCTGTGAAAATTGATGTTCTTAACACTGTGTCAAGGTCAAGTAATGCATAATGGGATATTATATTGGGGATCTGAAAAATAAGCAAAAATATGAAATATCTAAAAAGTCCTTCCTTAAACTGCAAATATCAATTCAAATGCAATCTAAATACAGTCAAATACATACAACATTGTATTCTGTTTATATGCAAGATTTCCCCAATTGTATCTCTATCTATAAAAGGCCGTGTGTGTGTGTGTGTGTGTGTGTGTGTGTGTGTAACGAATGCACGGCTGCAATTTTCAACGGATTTGCACCAAAATTTACATACACATGCTCCAAGTTAGCGAGAAGGCCAAGCCAGTAAGAGCCTATAGCTGTCTACCACGAACTGACAGGAAGATTCTATTGGCCAGCGTGAGAGCCAACAGCTGACCGACATGAATGTTAACTAGCATACTAGCATGCAAAAAAATTGATAGCTGCATTCGTCACAAGTGGAAAAAATTTAAATCTGCATGGCACTTTACTCCAATTGGCTCATTTGCTTGCTTAAACACAACATTGATTCTGATTCCGCAGAACTAGGTTGGGTGTGAAAAGGTATTTGTTGTTAACATTCTTTTTTCATTCGGTTTTTCCAGTTACGAGTCCTTTTTTAAAGCTGATCATTTTGTGTTCATTTTGTTTAGTTCTTTTTTCGTAACAGATTTAATGTTTAGTATAGAGCTTAGAAAAAATTCACAGTGTGAGATAGGCAAGAAGTAAGGCATATAGCAACATCAGCACGGCAAAGGGCACTCGTTTAAAGTCAAGGAAGGGCAAAAATATTTTAAGTCAAGTGATAGCGATTGCTGTATTAGTCTTATGATTTTTGAATCAAGCACGGGTAATGCCAGGCTATGCGGCTAGTGAAATATTTAAAGCTCAAAATTTATGCCTGAATTTGTAAACATTAGATGAAACTGTGACATCAAATAAAGTCTCTTATATTTTGTCCAACAGTCGTTCTTGCTTGACAGGGATAATACCCTATATATTTGTGTCATGTGAGATCTCATGTATTGTGTGACCCCCAAATTTTCACTTATAAAAAATATGATCTTATGTACATTGTGTATTACGAGAGTTCCTTTTTTGAGAAACCAAATTACAATAAACTAACCTCTTTTCCACTATCTCTTTATCCCATCTTCTAGTTAAATAAGTTAAAAAAAAGTAAAAGAGAACGACAAAAGGTATCGTTAGTAACACTATACTCATTGCGTAAACACATACTGCCATAAACAAGCGAATGAGCTTATAAACTTAAACAATGAAAAAGATGCATATTTGCTATGTTTGTATTTTATAATACAATATTGATATGTGAATATTACATGCATTATTATTGGATACAGTTAAGTAAAGCATCAGTTTTATCAAAGTCATGTTTATTTTAAATACAGTTATACTTTTTGACTACAGTAAATGGATATATACTTTGGTCAATAGCATAGCCAGGGTCAGCAGTACATATGCTGATTTTATATCATCATGTATGATGCAACCCCCTTAAAATTAGCTTCAAAATAAGGTCTTCAAAAATTGCATGATACACAAGTATATACGGTAATTCTTTTCTTATTAAATTATAAAAAATAAATTTTGATATTAATTTCAGCATTGTCATCTTTATTAATAAACAATTGTTTTGTTAATGGCTTTTATAATTAGCAAAAATGAAAAAGTGATTTTCTACCATAAAAATGTTAACTTCCTTAGCTTGACAGAATTCTTCTATGTGTGACATCTCTTCAGGAGATATATGATTAACTTACTATCCTTTGTATCTCTTAGCAATCTTTTTACCACTCCTTCCACTCCCCATTGTCATCCACACACACACATATATATATATATATATATATATATATATATATATATATATATAAATAAAAATCATTAGGTAGATTGCCTTCTGCTCCCACCCTCATTCATGTTCTAATGAAATAGACAATAACATGTCATACAGGAAGTAAATGATTGCCAAAATATCTAAACCTAGCATGCTGCTTTGATCACAATTTTGCTAAGAAACAGTTCCACGTGGTCAAAGTATTTCTGCTTTTCCTTTGTTGTATGCATGTTTATGTAAACAAAATGAAATGGTTTATAACTGGAACTGGTGCCTTGGTTTAACAAGCTGGTCTGCTTGATCATAACTACTGACAACTTTTTTTTCTTTTTTTAAGTGTTTCACTCCCCCAAGTAAGGTGATAATGCCACTAGAACACAGACACATTGAAAGGGAATGAGAAACCTTTAGTGGGGGATGATCAAAGAAAGGACAAAAAAAGGAACAAGGTCCAAAACAACAGAAAATGGTGACTGATGTTGCATTTACATTTTTGAAAATTGTAGTTATCAGGGAAGCAAGAAATAAGAAGGGAGTTCTACAGGTGGGAAGTACAAGAAAACACACCATTAAAGTAGAAGTGGCAGTTGCATCTTGCTAGTTTAAGAAAAAAAAGGGTGAAATCAATTCTTAGAATGCTCCATACTTGTGGCCTTGTGTCTAATCTAAGTTTAACAAATAATTGGCATTGTTAAAAGAGAAAAAGCAAAGATATGCCAAGACTTAGAGAGATGAGATTTTTCCATAGAATTTCATGACAAGTCAGCCCAAGATGCAAGCTATGAATTGGAAATGTCAAAGTGAAACAAGTAGAGACATTTAACTATCTGGAAAGTGTTTTGACAAATGACAATTTATGACACTGAAATCCAAAGACACATTGGAATAGCAAAAGATGCCTTCCAAAAAATAAAGAAAGTATTAAGAAATAGGAAAATTTTGCCAGAAACAAAGGAAAGAATGTTGAACTGCTATGTAATATGTATCATCCTATAGAGCAAAGAATGCTGGACAATTTCATAAAACAGGCTGGAAATATTTCATCACTTTTGCTCTTATTGATTCCATGAGAGCACCAAAGAAATAGGGGTGTGACACAAAAATGTGTCTTCACACCAAACTTATTCTACTTATATAGTGAGGTGATTCTGAGAGAATTAGATGTCTTGCCAGGATTCATTATTGGCAGATGACAGAGTGTTGATAACAGACAAAGGATTTACAAGAACTTCTACAGATGTGAAGGAAAGTGAGAAGAATGGACTAAACATCAATTGCAAGATGACAGAATGCACGGTTGTCAGCAAAAAGGAACAGCCCAACATGCAAATTACAAATTGGGGATATCAAAACCAAACATGCCAGTACAAAATCTGGGAAGTGTTTTAATAGGGGACAGAAAGTGTGATACTGAAGGTGCATTGGGACAGAAAAAGATGCCTTCCAAAAGCTAAGAAAAGTATTAACAGAAAAATTTTGTTAGAAACAAAGAAGAAGTACTGAACTGTTAATATCAGTCCTCTTATATGACAGTGAATGTTGGACCATCTCCTTGCAGATGAAGAAATTTGAAGCAACAGAAATGGGATTCTTCAGAAGGATTGTGAGAATACAATGGACCCAACATGCAAGCAACAATGACAATCTAGAGAAAATGGAAACAAAAAGGACACATATACTTAACATCAGGAAGAGACAGTTGCGATTTCTAGGGCACATGAAGAAAGCAGGCATTGAAAATTTGATACTTACAGGGCAGATTGAAGGTATGAGTAAAATAGGAAAACAACACATGACCTACCTGGCGAGCTTCAGTAAATGGATGGAGGAGAAAGATTTAGGAGAGATAAGAAAAAAAAAAAGACAAAATTTAATAAGAGCTACAAGGACAGGAAATGGTGGAGAGCCATGATCGCCAACATTTGGTTTGGTTTGTTTTACCACATAGCAACCTCAATGGATTATTCAATGCCAACAAAATTTTTGTTTCTGGTAATATTTTTCCTCAAAAATGTATTGCTAGTAATAAATTTTTACAAAGTATTTCTGGTATTAAAACCTATTTTTACATTTACATACTGTTTTGACCCCAGTTTGGGGGTTAACTATTTACCCACAGCTGGGACCCTAACAGGTGCTACAACCCTAGGTCAGGGGGGACTTGGGAATGCCAGCAATTAAGAGGTGGTCCCATGCTACTTAAAAATCTGATCAGAGGCCTTGCTGTTCAACGTAGTTTATTGTCTTACCCAGGATAGATCCTTAAGAGAGAGACTGGATCATCCACAAAACTGAATATGTGCGACAAGATTATTTTTATAATTAGTAAAAGATTTCACTTCACCTATAAAGCTATCTTAACTTAAAAACTGGCTGATCACATTTAAAGCCTTAAAAATCAAACTAGTGATGTTCCACTGTCACCAAGTGGACCCTTTTACCTATCGTGATAAATGGGTGTTCATTCAGGGAAACCCCATGCCTTGAGCACATATTAGGACTTAAACTCAACCCAGTTGAACTCGTAAATACAATCTATTGCTTAAGATAATAGAAAAATGGTCGGTTCCTTTTACTGCTAGCTCCTGCTACCCTCCACATTTACAAGAGCCAGATCAGGACTAAAATGGAGTATTGCTGCCATATGTAGTCAGGAGCTGCCCAGTCTTCAATTTCTAGTCTCGATTTCCCACCCTACAACCCCTTTCTCACAGGCAAAAATCTCACAATCCTCTCACTGTTCTATCTCCACATGTAAAGTGTTCAGATGAAATACATTCCTTAGTTTCATCAGTTTTAACCTTCACTGCTAAGACCCACAATACCCACACACATTGTAGCAAACCACCTTCGTTTGCTTTGTATTCCATTAGGGAGATGTATTCTTCACATGTACCACTGCTATGTGGAACCAACTCCCAAGAGGATACTTCCTTGATCAGTAAAATCTTAATCTGTTCATGTCTAGGGTTAATCATTATCTTTCGCCCACACATCCTCACTTTGTAACCCTCCACCTTGAGTGGAACGTTTTTTTGGGGTGGTGGCTTCTATAAGGTGAAAAAAAAGAAAAAAAAAAGAAAAAAAAAAAAGAGAGATTCTCACCTTTGAAAAATTTCTCTCAGTCAATTTGTTTAAAGAAAGAGATAATTGCTGTTGAGAGCCATCATTTCTCCACCAAGGTCGAACAACATCAATTTTGTTAGGAAGGTAGAAATCCCGGATTAAATAATCTTGTAGTAATGGATCCAGCAACGAAAAAGCATCCAGTAAAATCTGTGGTGTGAAGATCCAGACTTGGTGTAAATGATATCAAGAGAAATCATTTTCTTTTTTTTTTGGTTAATTTGCAGTATAAGCACCAAAGGCCCTCAGTATTGAGAATGTACCATTCTGGCATGAAATTGCCTGATTATTTCAAAAATGACATTAAAACATTGTGCTCCATTATCGTTTTCAATTTATCGACAATGTAAGTTCGATCTCTTTCACGTTGTCCAGCTACCATTACTGGCGTTGTTTACATACGTTTTCCTCTAGTCATAATGCGCAGAAGCTTACTTAGTTAACGGCCTTTTTATAGTTTTTCATATCTAACTGGTCTTGATTACTGCAAGATTTTCACACATGTTATTTTAAAATGCGCTTATTTTTTTTAAAATGAAGTTTTAAATGAATAGTATTTTTTCTTTATTGCCCTTAATAAATCTGCTCAGAGCTAATGAAACAGAATCTCACTCTAAAATCTAATCTATGAAGCTTTAAATTCAAGAAACTTTTACCACATCAAAAAAAAAAAAAAAATAAAAACAAAAAAAAAAAAAACACATACACAACGTTGAGAGGAGAGTAAAGAAAATCTTTTTTTTTTTTTTTTTTAACCTTTCATACACGTAATTTTCATCTTATTTCAATTGTCGGACTCTACGGTTTTTTTGTGCATTCATCTCAAACTTTGTGCATTAATCAAAACAAGTGAAGCTTCCACGCCACATAACTACTAGAGGCAAACATATGTAAAGAAAGCCAGTAATGGCAGACGTTCTGTGTACACAACAAGAAAGTTGAACTTACATTGTCCATAACTTCTAAATGGTAATCGAGTGAAATGTTTTAATGTGATTTTTTAAATAACCAGACAATTTCACACCAGAATGGTACATTCTCAATATTGGGGGCTTTTGGTGCTTATACTGCAAATTAAACTTTCTTTTTTTTTTTTTAAATCTTACAAAACAAGATCCTTAGCAATGTTATAAGATTTTAAACAATGAATAATTATAAAAGATAATAAAAATTACAAAAGCCTGAATCTTAGAATTGAAACTTTCACAGCAGAAAATCAAAATATATTTAAACCATTTTGCTGCAAGAAACAGATTTTTTTTCTGGTAGATGATTAACATCATTATAGGAATGATCATGAAATATAATTACAAAGTGTAAGGGTTAAGAATTCTAACAAAATAAGTGAACTGAATTTCTCTTCTCCACAAAAATGTTTCAAGAGAGCAAATGAGAAAAACAAACCTTGAGGTAATCTTTCGTAAGCTCTTTTTCTTCCCCTCTAAAATTGGACAGCCAATTAACTCGTTCCCAAAGAGAGCGAAATAGATCAGCATCTGATAGTTCTCTCAGGTGATCCTCAAGAATTGATAAATAGCTGAAGAAAAAAAAAAAAAAAATTAATTTAGAAATATTTTGATACAAGTCTTAAATACCTGCAAAAAAAAAAAAAAAAAAAAAAAAAAAAAAAGCGGTCAATTCCCTGTATTTTAAATTCATTAAAACATTTTCTTCAGAAAATTAAAAATGATGCAAATTCATTAACTAAAGACATTCACTTACATGCTATTTCCCTTGAGAAAGGTATAAATCTATCACTCCACTCGAACCCCATAAATCTATGGGCAAATAGCAGGATATACTGGTTCCTTGGGTTGAAACCGGACTAGAAATTTGTGGGTGTAGGGTACAAACGAAGGGCAACCCATACCATATACTTTAGTTGTCGGTCAAGAGGTTGGAAAGGAGATTATCACCACCAAGATATCTCAAAGCCCCCTGAAAAGATCATGCGGAAGAAGAATCATGGTCTGTTTCTTCTACCCTTCACTCCCCCTGATGATTGAAGCAGTCAAGGGATTGATGATGATGACAACATTTAACTCATGGTCATCTCAACAGTGTGTCTTAACTCATTAACATGTTGGCTCCCCAGTCTCATTTCCCTTGTTGTCCCAGGGTCACAACACTATATCTTAATTTTGGTACAAGAAAATGTTTTTTTAAATTTCATTTTACAACCCAGAATCCCACACTGGTACAACTGTGTATGTAAAGAAAAAAAAAATTTGTTATCTTCATTATCTATCTTACAAATTTATAAATCTACCAATCATCCATGCATTGAATATTGCTGCCACATCTGGACTAGTACTCCTGTTATACATTTGCAGATTTCTCTACTAATATCTATTATGTATATTTCATTGAATATCACAGACAAGGTGCTTTTATTTAGTTTCTTTTTATACAATTCCTCATGCGATCTAATAATTTTTTTCTTTTCAGATGATAAATTCTATAAGAACTATCCAAATGTTCTTTTTATACGAGCGCTTTTGGCTATACATTTAGCCATTTTCAAGGATTAAATATTTTAACTGTTAAATAAGAAATAATTTGTTGTATGTAGGTTTTATAAAATGTTTACATTTTTCAAAAAATGGTCAAGATATTGTGCCCATGTTCAAAGTTAATATTATTAAGTGTTGTTTTTTTTTTTGTTTTTATTAATAAGGCTTCCATTATTTTTAGCCTTTTTTTGCATGTAGATGATGCTATTATATTAGTGTTGTCAACAGAGACCTACCGGACACTACTTGTAACATATGTGTTTAGGTTTTATTCAAATTCTAATAATCACTTTTTAAAGACAAATGGGTAATGTATTTCACCTGTGGCAACAGTGATGCATATGAAAGAGTTACCTCTGCTGGTATAATTCATCAAGGTGTTGTATCAAGGCTCTTGTTTGTTTGCAAAAATGCATTACCAGTAATGATATCTGTGTTAGGAAGAAATACAGACCTCTAGTAGAAATTGTTTTGTTTTTTACCCTTTATGAGTTATTTCAAGCTGAAATCTATTTTGGGGCTGTAAGAAATTTTTTTTTGAGTGAATATTGCATTAATATCTTTTGGCGATAACAATGATTTTTCTAGATAAAAAGTCCTACTATTTAACTAATAGCTATAGGGAGAAGTTTGACAGATAAAATTCATTTAAAATAAATTCCTTAATCTGTCAATTTGAATCTATTTAATCCAGTCCTTATATACTCATACATAAACAATTTCTGAAGGAATTTAAAATTTTCTATTTCTTTTAGGAACTCTATTGTCTTGCCAGGGGAAACATCTTAAAACAATGTTTTTATATTTGTGACATTGTAGTATTTAATGTTTAAAGAGATAGTTTTTACATTCAATCAGAATCTATGATTGCAATTAGTGCATCAAGGTATATCTTCAGCTCTTAACAGGTTTACATGACTTAGTTTTGTATGTCCAATATAAACTTGGGTTAGCATAGTGTCTTCTCTTCATCTTTTTCTTTTAGTAGTTTTGTGTTTTCCTGTTGGGCACTGGGTTGGGGTTTGTAGAGTTTGTTTTCTCGGAATGCTTGTCATTTGCTTTTTATACAATCATTATCTTTTTAAAATTTGTATATGGAAATTTTATATTAGTTATTTCCATGATGCAGTTTTTTTTTTTTTTGCTAGTTCATCTATTTTCTCACTAGCAGTAGAGCCCGGCGTTGCCCGTGGATGTAACAGTAAGAGATAGATCAAGTATCAACCATCATAAAGACTGAAAAATAAAATTGACAAAGATTATTGTTTAAGGTTGACGGACACAGCATGTCTTAATTAGTTTCTGTTTTTTGTTTTTTTTACGAATTGGTCAAACCCAAACTCAAACAAAAACATTGTTTTCAATCGTTATGAGTATACCGATTAAATAGAATTTTATTATAAACAATTGTCTTGTAAATGGAATTTTAAAGCATTCTGAATGTAAAAAAAAAGAAAAAAAGTGTGCAAGACAATAAGAAACACTACCTGCCAAAAAAGTGAAGTTTTGTTGAAATCGGTTGAAAAATGTAGGAAATCCGATCCCATATATAAACGAACACACACACAAACAACCTGGGTTTTATAATAAGTATAACTCGAGATGAGTTATTCCCCTTTCATTGTGGTGACAGAATTGTGTTTTGCCGTGTTTTCAAATTGCTTTTGTGCAAAAACTATTGTGTTTTTCCAAATTTTGGTGCTGTCAGAACCACCACAAGGTAATTTTATGTAATCCTGTGAAGTTTTGTTGAAATTGGTTGAAAAATGTAGGAAATCCGATCCAATATATAAACTTACAGACACACACACACAAGCTGGGTTTTATAATAAGTAAGATTATAATTTATACCACCATGGCTGGTGTCCATGATAAAACAATTTTTATAATTTTACTAGGTTATAAATATGCAGCATGTCTGCAATGTTGTCAATTCTCAAGAACAAAAAAAAAAAAAAAAAAAAATGTATAAATTCACTTTTATATGTTTAGGTTTTATTACAATTCTGATAACTTCTTTTTAAGACAAATATTGCCAAAGAGTGAAGGTAGTTAAAGCAATGTCATGCGAAAAAAAAAAAAGATGTCCTTTTGACACTCAATCTTATAGCAGGCACATTTGTCTATATTAACCAAAATTACAATCTTTTTTAATTTATAATCTTAACCCCAGAAAAAAATGTTCAGTGTTGAATCCTATAAAAAAAAAAAAATGATTTGGAAAAGGTAATAAAAAAATTCCATGTTTATAGTTGCTATTTTTTGAACTTTGAAATTTAAGCAAATTGATTGTCTTTTACAAAGCAGAAAATTTTAAGAATTTACACCATCAAAAGAAATTAAATCACAAATGGTCAAAATTTATACATAGGATAAAAAAAAAAAAAAAAAAAAAAAAGGGTTGACTTGCAAACTTGCAGAAACTATGTCCTAATGCTAGTCAGGAAATGATCACCCTCAGCCGGGCCCATGGGAAAGGAAGACCCAAGATTTTCTATGACCCCAGAATAGACATTGTTGAGGAAGAATTCTAGTGTACAATATATGCATATAAAACAAGAAATACCTTCTATCCTGCCAGGAATATAGATTTTCATCTTTCAGTATTTCTGAAAGAGAAAATGGTTAGAAAAGAAAACAGTTTTGGTTTGCATCAAGGAAAAAAAAAAAAAAAAAAAGACATTTTAAAAATGTTATCACACAAAGACATTTTATTCAAGAGCAATGACTTTTTTCTTTTTTTACCCCAAGCAAAGGCAATAAAACCACTAAGATGTAAGGATTACTCTGTGAGATAATATGAGGGAAAAAATTAAGGAGAGAGAGAAGATAATGATAGACATTACATTTAAATTTTTAAAGATCAAATTTGACCAAAAAGCAAGATAGAAAAAACTGTTAGAAATTACGGTTACATCTAGCCATTTTAGCTGCAACATGAGACCTTGCTGCCAATTTAATACTGCGCTTCTTTAATTCATATTCTATGTACCATAGAGGAAAGTTCATCATAACAATTACCATGAAAGTATTTAAAAGGCACATGTTACAGCAATACAAAAGTGACCGAAGTGGTGATGCCAGGTCAGCAACAATAACATCACAGATTCTTTAGATTTCATCAAAAATCTCTAAATATATATATGACCAGATGTGGCAGCAATATTCAAAGCATGGACAAATGGTAGACTTATAGATATGTAGGATAGATTTTTGGATTGATATGGTCACAACTCCCCTCTATCTCACAATTGTGGTTCATTATAACATTCCCACGAGTATGAGCACGTAAGTGAATGTAACAATCTCAACTGGAATCTGCACTATGCACTAGGCTCTAATTCCTCAACCCAAACTGCAAACCATTAATCCACCATATATATATATATATATATATATATATATATATATGAAAAAGAGAGAGAGATTAAAAAAAGAGAGACAATTGGAAAATATTTCTTAGTCATTGCTGATGTGTTTCATTAATCAGATTTTATCAAGGCAAGTTTAAAAACAAAATGTTCTGTGGTTATATCAAATTCAAAATATTAAAAAGGGAATGCTCCTGTGTAAGCCTACTTCTGTATATTGGTAACTTTTTTCTTTTTTTTTACTAAAAATTTGTTTGTTTTCCATGTTTCCCATAGTTTTGTTAAATTTCTCAGAATAATTCTGAAGATAAGACAAAGTGTCTTCTTATATATATATATGTGTGTGTGTGTATGTGTACTGAAGATTGCAGTCAAGCATGAAACAGACAGTCGCCACTCAGTATTGATCTACGTCCACTTTTATATTTGTACATGCTCTAGCTAATATTGAGCACTTTTACTCATAGCATACACTAAAATATGTGTGTGTACGTGTGTACACAAGGGTAAATCAGAAAATAAAGGCAATTTTGAAATTACATGATGAAGACAACAGAGCTACTGACATATGGCAGCACATGTGCAAATGGGATGACCTATAGCATTCTATCATTCAGTTCCACACAGAATTTGCACCATCAAGGAACAGGCAAAATAACTTGAACCTTCAGAAATCCATTACCAGATGCTGACACAGTATGAAGCATGCACCTTGAATCAGTAAAAGGTGTATGAGTGGATAGAACACTTTAAAGCAGGAAAAACAAAAGCTTATGCGGATGCCTCGATCAGGGAAGAATGACAAATCACGTTAGCACAAGTGGTGGCAATTGTGGGCATCAGCTATGGCTCTACACAATACATAGTGCATGATCATTTGGGGCGGGGGGTACTGTAAAGTTTGTGTCTAAACAAGCAAGCGTGAAGTTATGGCTTTCCTGAGTAACCAAAAAGCCCCTTTTCAAAACAGAAGATCATTGAATGTTATCAGAAGTGTATTGCAGTGAAGTTGGGGAGGGGACAAACTACATTGAAAAGAGACATATGCAATATTAATTGTAAACTCAGTTCCTGGACCATAGTGTTGACTTAGACTCAGTTGAAACAAGGCAAGCAATAACTGACCAGTACTAAATAAGAACTAGACAAATTACTTACCTGAGATATGATCAGCAGAATGAATATAACTATCCCCACAAATTAAATAAGGTGTTGATTCCAATTTCTCTGAAAATGGCAGGAAAACACTTTCTCCTCTCTAATTTACAGGCTGTACCACACAAATGCAAAATATATTCTTAATTTTTTTTCAAAAATGTATTGCTGGTAATTTTACTATAAAAATCCTTTTTTATATTTATTAGTGTGTATTTGATCACTTTACTATAACAATGTATTGTTGGTATTTTTATACTTAGTGTTTTGATTTTTGTTTGGGGGGGTGTCCTTACTTGTTCCTAGCTGGGACCCTAACAGGTGTTGCCACTCTGGATTATGGCAGACCTGGGAACAACAGAAATTAAAAGGTGGTTCCATGCTCCTCAAAACCTCCAATCTCCCAATTGAAGACCTTGTTGCCGGATGTAGTTTATCATCATACCCAGGAGTACTTGATGAAGGCAGGAGGGTGCAGTGGCTGAAATAGTGTGACAATAACAACAAAGATGAGGAAAATAGTCTACATGTAAATTAAAAAGAAATCTATTAATTCCTTAGAAATTACTTTGTTTACATTTCAAAGGCAAAAATGAAAGTTGGTAGATATGGGCTTTGAAAAATCTTATTGTGAGATATGCTTTCCTTCATAAGGGCAATGTTACAGAATACAAAGGTTAGGGCCAGAATGGTCAGCAATTGGCTGGAGTGCCTTGTGGGAATGCTATTCTGACAGTGATGGATTGCTGTAAATTCAATACCACTCACAACCAGGTTAGCTACTGGCTAAGACCACCAATGCAGGGATGCCGAGTTAATGTTCCTTATGTGTTTCTGTTATATCATTCCTCCCACTGCTTCTTAGAATCCAAGCTGTCACCACTCTCTCCTCATAAAGTGAATAACAAAAAGAAATGGTCCTTTTTTTGATACCATTTTATGTAGTAGCATGGGGGCCAAGAAACAACACAATGCAACAGTAACTAAGCCTTGCTTTGCCATGAAAGTACTTTGTGACTGAGCTATTCGAGTCTAGCTGAGTCGTGATACAGTCTTTGACTGTAAGTGACGTCTGTCGAACTCTCTGCGTTAGCAGATAGGAACACAGATAAAGCTTTGCCGAAGGGCACGGTTTCGTCCGGGGAGTAGACAGGGCCTGAACCCATCTAGGCGGGTTCAAAGGCTATTTTTTGGCAGAGCTTAAGGGCTCGGAGATACCCATATTAAACCGGCCTTGTGCCACATTCAATCCTCATGGGTGGATCGATAAATAGTGAGCTATTCAAAGCAAATTAGGAGACACAGTGGATTCTCCTACATGTGTACTCAAATGCCTGTATCCACGAAACATAATTATAGTAACAAGTCTCACACACACACACATACAAATAAAAAACAAAAACAGTTTGTTGGTATGGCAATAAAGTGCTCAATGTCACATGGAACAATGGGGCCACAGTCAAGGAACCTAATGCTTTCAAGCAAAAAAAGGGCTCAACAGAATGGGGCCCCACCAGCTGAGTTTGGTTGTTGTTTGCATGACATTCACATACAGGCCATATTTTTTTTTTCATCTCTGGCTTGCCAGGGGGAATAAAAAGTCCCCATTTTTGCAATATGGCTGCTGACCGCCTGACAATTGTGTGAAAGCATGAAACTGACACTAGTGGTGTCAGACACTGCGAACCAGAAATTTAAATCATAATTTAGAAAAGCTCTACCATTTTATATAGCTTGGAGCACTTTTTCTTTCTGGTGTGCATTCATGGTAGACTCATTTTAAAAGCTGCTTATTGCTATTAATATATTTAATCATTTCACTGCAAACAAGACAATGAAGCCACTAAAACACAAGGGATTACTGAATATGAGAAAATATGTTAAAACAAAAAAACACTAGAACTAGAGAGAACAATAAAAGAACAGGAATTACGACAAAAGATAACAATTGACATTTAAAATTTTTGAAAAGATTTGACTGGGCATCAAGAAACCAAATATTCCACCAGTGAAAAGTGCAAGAGGAGAAACTGTTTGCATAGAACTTATGGTTACATCTAACCATTTCAAATGTAAAATGATGAGACCTAGTTGCCAATCTAGTACTGCGCTTAAATTCATAAAGTCTAAGAATCATGAAGGAAAGTTCATCAGAACCATTACCATGAAAGTATTTCTAGAAAAGGTACAGGGAAGTTACATTACGGCACTAATAACTGAAGTGGAGATGTCAGGACCAATAACATTGCAAATTCTTTGTCCTTTATCAAGGATCTCTAAAAATATAGCATATATTTATGTCGCGCACACACACACACATATATCTCAACATTGAGGTTAACACAGTGGCGACAGTCTATTTCATGCTTGAATACAAACTTCGGATCATGTAAATTGTTTTTTGGCTTAACTATTTATATATGCTGGTCAATGTTGCATTATGGGTAGCAAGGTCTATTATCATCCTAACAGTTATTGGATAGGCAATAAGGCCAATGGAAAAGGTAGGTGTATTGTTTTTATTTAATGCTTAAATGGCAAGGTAAACATTTACATATGTCTTCACTTAGACATTATTTTGTTTTCCTTATTTGATTTGGTGGTATCTTGAATATTAGGGTATTAATTATAGATGATTATGTTTATCATTAAATTTTATTTATTACTGTTTGATTTCACACACACAAATGCATGCACACAAACACACATGTATCTGCGCATTTATATCAATATCTGTTGTGGATCCTGCATGAAAAATAGGTATCCAATAAATGACAAACGCAAGTATTTAAGCTAAGAAATTAAATGTATTTACACAAAATACAAAAGGTAATGCTGTTAGTAAAATCCAGGAACACGGTTAATAGCAAATACAGATAGATATATACAGTCTCGAAGTAGGACTTCCTTAGAGTCTATGTGCTTGTAACTGACTTCTACAAGAGGTTACTTCACTCTATCTGACTCCGGTACGACTCTTGTAAGACTCAACTTCTCTGCCTGATTGTGGCTATTTTATGGTAGCAGGATGAGTCCATTATATCCGAAAAGGGTGGACCCCATAACCATATCCTATTATAATTGTGCTTATAACTTCTTGTCAATACCTCATAAATAATGGTTTATTCTGTTTTGATCATATGGAAAGAATGGAAAAGACATAACTTTGTTTCAATGAGAAAGTGATATAAGTGGAGTGAGAGAATCAGATTAAACTTATGACAGATACTACACTTTGATCTTGATATTATCAATTTCTTCTTGTCAGCTAAAATAAAAATATCTATACAAGACATTTTAGCTTTAGTAAGTTTTTTAAAAATCTAGTTTTCTACATATAGTATCTCAAAACAAAATTTGAAGAAAGTTGTTCTTAACTTTTCCTGTGAAGTTAGTCAAAAAAATAAACTCCCATTCTTAGACATTCTCACATAATTTAGTAGTAACACATTCACTAAATTGTTATACAAAAAACAAAAATAAAATACTAGCAGAACCTCTTGCTACCTTAATTTTTAAAGTGAATTCACACTTTAATATAAAATAGTTATTATAAAAAATTTCCTCAGGAGAGCACTTGAGAATTGATCCTCTCTTCCCCTTTTCCTTAATGTGAAACAGACATTAGTTAACAACGGTTTTCAAACTACCTCATCAATCATTAGATTATTTCCATCTATAGTAGCTAATAGCAATACCAAACATACAGATAAAAACAATAACATTAACATTTTCTATAAAAGCCAAAGACATGTTAAGATGAATTTTCTCTTAGAAACATTATAAAGAATTACACAACCCCAGTTGACCAGAAAAGAAAATTAAATTATCTACTATAAAAAAATTAAAACAGCTAACCTTATCAACAATAATACATCTGCAAGATTTAAATTACAGAGAACCAATATTATTTATGAATTCACATGCACCTTAAGGAATTGTGTCTCCAATTCAAACTCATGAATAATTATATTGGACATACCACTACATAAGTATCAAGAAGACTCACTTTATACCTCTCTGACCATAGGTCAATTAGGATTCATTTAAACACACACAGAAACCTACCAAACCCCATCCACAACATACTTATAGAAAATACAAGTATAATAGGCTAATTAACATGTAAAATAAAAATAAAATTAATGGAAGAACTAATAACAAAATGAAAAAGCCAACACCCAGTAACATCAGCTATGAACATGGCCACAATGTGCTAACCATGTTTGGAAATAAAGACATTCCTATCACTCTAGAGAGATACATAAAAACCCAAACATTCAGTTAAAAAAATAAAAATCATTCTTGATAATGGCTAAAAAGCGCTTGGATATGCAGAACATTTCGACAATTTTTACACATTTTATGTCCAAAAAAGAAAACACATGAATACAAGAAATATTTTTAAAAAATTAAATAAAAAGCTAAATTGTAGTAACTTATCAATTGTCTTTAATGAAACTTGTATAAAAAGAGGTATTGCTGCACAAATACACAATATTTACTTTATACACACATTATATGTGTGTGTGTAATATATATATATATATATATATATATATATATATATATATATATATATATATATATATATATACATACATATTTGCATGTATATTTATAATTCTTTATTCAGTTTTTCTGGTTTAGTAGTTTACTTTTATACGTATGCGTGCATGTGAAAATGATATTCTTACAGCCATAGCATGCCGAAACATTGGTGATCATATGATCGCCAAAGTTGGTCAGTATCTAGATAAGTGACCATATGAAAATACTGGATGCTGTAACCATGGGTGTATGGTTGGTGTAATGGATAATAGTCTGAAATTGGAGACTGGAGAGCTGAGTTCCAATTCCAGTCAGCTTTGTTATATTCACTTAGGTGCAAATACACTTTTGAAAGGCATGAATCCAAATCTCCCCACAGTTATAGATTAACAAGCAAGACTTTTATCAGAAAATCATTAGTATCTCAAAAAATTTGTATAATCTAAAAATATTTTTTTAGGCCTTAAATAATCTGCAATGGGTTGATAAGCTGTAAAAAAATAATTAATATGAAAATTATATTCTGGATAAATAATTAGTCATTTAAATTACCAGCCAATTTGTCCACAGGTAAATCATCTTCCATAGGAGTTGTTCTATCTGGATAGTCATCAAAAGAATAATCATATATTTCATAATCACAAATGAAATCACATTGATCAATAAAAAAATCCCCTTCTGGAATCATGTCTCCATATGCAGAATAGTCTTCATTGTCAGACAGATACTCAACCAGAATACAACAAAGCCTGATGAATTTGTTAGCAGATAACAATTTCTGGTCTTCCAAGGTTTTGACATCATCTAAACAGGGCTGGCACTTCAAGTAAAGATACAAACAGGAAATGATACGCCTCGGATATTCCGACTTCAAAGTTTTCAAATGCTCAACTCTGAACGGATATGGTTTGCATTTTAATGCCGAGTATTTTGACCCATTTTCATGTAAATTTTTCAAACTTTCAATGTCGTCACTTTTGTCCAGCCACTTTTTCAGGTCTTCAGTCAAGTTTAGCAACTCTCCTTTCTCCAAATTGTATAACTGTTTATCTGTAAGGAGATCTTCTAGAGTAATTGAAGTCTTAAAAGAATCTCCATAAAGTGCAATTCCCAAGAATGTCAAGTCAAAATAGATGTCATCAAAATTGGACAGCTCATAGATATTCTGAAATAAAGAATCACTATTTTTTGCTTCTTCCAATTCCCAAAATAAAGAACTCCTATTTTCCGCCTCTTCATTGATGCAAGTCAGAAACTGCTCCACACCGTTCAGGAGGTCCAATAATATTTGATTGTGATCAGAAAGCATGTTACGAACATTGCTTAAACTGATATGTGGGCCACTAGCATCAATTAAAGTTCCAGCTTGTCTATGCTTCGACCAAAACTCCTGGATTTCATCAGGAAGGCAGGATTCATTAATAATTTTAATCAGTGCTGTCAGAAGGAACAAGTCCTCTGTTGACTGGGGTTGTTCCTGACAATGTTTAATGGCATGTACCATCAATTTTTGGATTTCTTCTGGCTCAAGCATAGGTAGACACTGAAATGACAAGAAATATATTTATGAAAAAACTGTAAAGAAAAAAAAAATGGAACAGACTTTGTTAACATTATATGTTCAGTGTAAGGTTAATACATCTCCTCTATGAGCTGTTTCCGTTCAAAGCGTGTGCAATCATGGCTCTCAACAACTTACTATCCCATGTTGCTCTTAGTAAAAATGTCTTTGTTACCACCCATTCACACAAGCTGGTCAATATGTAGCACCCCACCACCCTTGTCTCTTTTGCCTTTGATATAGCCTGTAAGTGTCAAAGTCTCCAAGCCCTCTTTTTTCACTATGCATCCAAGAAATCTTGGCTACCTCTGATTCCGACTATAAGCGTCCTTTCTGTTGGTTTGGTTTGGTTTGGTTTGGTTTACGCCATATCGCCCTCAATGGCTTCTTTAATGCTGACAAGATTCTTATTGCTGGCAATAATTTTTCCAAAAATGTATTTCTGGTAATAATTTTTCCTTCAAAAATTCATTGCTAATAATTTTTTTACAAAAAGTATTGCTGGTATTAAAACCTATTTTTTACACTTTCATAGTGTTTTGACCCCAGTCTGGGGGAGGGGTCAACTATTTGCCTGTAGCTGGCACCCTAACAGGTTCTACCACCCTGTGTCCTTTTTGTTTTTATTTTCATTAAGACTTTTTTATTGCTTATGTACTCTACCCAATCCATTCTCAACATCCTTCTGTAAAAGCACACTTCTTTTGTCTCAAGTCTCTTCTTCAGAAGAGACTGTCCAGCATTCACTGCCAAATAGGATGACCGATATTACATCCAATGTGGTAATGCAAAGTTTCCAGACTAGGCCCTCTTAGACTCCATAACTGATGTCACTTATATAGCTGAGCTGATAATAGATTTTTTGCTGACAGTTCTCATGCATGAATTAACAAAATGTTTCCAGATTTTCTGGCATTTGATGGTGATTGGTCACCCTTAACACTCATCTTGAAAGGTATATACCACTCGAAAAAAAAAGAAAAGTTATGCTCAACCTAAAGTACTTAAAACATTTTAAGGGGTACAGTAGCAGCTATACGAACCTTCTCAAAAAAACATGATGTTACTCATTGTAAAGATTGCAGAGCCATTTCAGCACATCCCAATGTTACATTCATTGTAATTGAACATGAATAGATTGCACAAAGCTTATAGGTAGACTCAGTAAGAGGAGTACTAATGAATTAGCTGCACATGCATTTGTGTATATGTTATAATCACAGAATGTACAGTCTATGAAATGTTCTGATACCAACTCAACAAATACCTGAGGAAGACAGGAGTGGTCAAAATGGTGTGACACAAACAAGATTAAGAATAAAAATTTTAAGCATTAAATAGAAAAGAATAACTGACAAAACAGAGACGAATCATTTGGACATTATACTCTCCTGAAATTCATGTTTAATCAATAATGTTGCACATATTCAACATCGTAAACAAAATATAAGCTGTAAACAGATTTTTCCTCATTTGAAAGAAAGTTATTTCGGCTTCATGGTGATTGTGCTTATTAGTTTACAAACATTAACAAAGGATTTTGGTCACTTCAAAATAGAAATGATGTAGAATTATTGGCTAGGGTTAAATGTAATTGGTTGTAATATCCAGCAAACAGAATTGACAAGTTTCACAATAACCAAGGGAAAAAGAATGTTATACTCTGTTGTAATTAGATCATGTCCCGATTCATTCTGCATGCTGGCTACATGTGAATACCATGAAAGCAGAGAACCAAATAAAAAATGTCGTTCTCTGCACATAGGTTCTGCACATCACATCTGGTAACCAAAGCAAGCCCTCCACAATGAAAGCAACACTGGCCAATCAAGAATGTTCCCACCAGAAAAGGAGATGCCCCAGAGGACGATCAGACCTGCTTAGACAATCAGCAGTTCAGGGCCAAGACGCCACTGGCCAACATGCAGGGTGCTGCTGCAATCACCACCACCTCGCATGTCTTAATTAGTTTTTTTTTTTTGTTTTTCTAATGAATTGGTCAAACCCAAACAAAAACATTGTTTTCAATCGTTATGAGCATACCGATTGAATAGAATTTTATTATAAACAATTGTCTTGTAAATGGAATTTTTAAAGCATTCTGAATGTAAAAATAAAGAAAAAAGTGTGCAATACAATAAGAAACACTACCTGCCAAAAAAAATGTGAAGTTTTGTTGAAATCGGTTAAAAAGTGTAGGAAATCCGATTCCATATATAAATGAACACACACATGCACAAACAACCTGGGTTTTATAATAAGTATAACTCGATATGAGTTGTCCCCCTTTCATTCTCGTGATCCCTCTTAATTGTGTTTTCAAATTGATTTCATGCAAAAACAATTGTGTTTTTCCAATTTTTGGCGCTGTCAGAACCACTGCAAGGTAATTTTACGTAGTCCTTTGAAGTTTTGTTGAAATCAGTTGAAAAATATAGGAAATCCGATCCAATATATAAATGAAGAGAGACACACACACACACACACAACCTGAGTTTTATAATAAGTATGATTACTACTTCCAGGCTTGACTAACCACCTTGGCTATCCAGCTTCGACATGATAACATCTCAACTTCGTCACCTTGGCTAACTAATTCATCACTGCAGCCCCATTCCATAGGATAGGCCTACCAACAAACAAAACTGACCCACCACAGTGACCGTGCAACATGTGCAAAGCATTCTCCTTGCAGTCATCACTGTGGCCCCATTCCATAGAACAGGCCTACAAACAAATGAAATTGACCCTACACCGGGATATTGATCAACCAACATGGGCACAGGAAATAGGCTGGCTCTCAATGCTTCCCTTGCACTTGATCACTATCCTGATGATCAGCCACTGAAACTGATATTCCACCTACTTTCGTCATATCTGTATGACATACTAGATGATAAATATAGTTAAAAAATCTAATCCTTGTTATTACTTTCTCTTGCAACCAAATGCTTATTCAAAAAGAACAAAAATATTAAGCAAGCAAAAACAACAACAATAAGGCCAAAAATTAAAACTAAGAAGGGTGTTAACGCACAAAAGATCGAGAGCAACAAAGAACAAAACAGATGAAGTTGAAAATTGGCCTATCTCATTGGCTAGGAAGAAATCTCAGCATACATCTGTATGTTTTGTATGTCTATAAATTTGGGGATGAAGATGTTTTTGCAGCCATTCTCACACTGATTGGAGCAGCTAATTGGCTTTCTGTAAAATCTCCTTGTATAAAATTATCAAAGATTGTATAATTATCAAAAATTATAAAAGTTTATCCATGCCATTAAAAAAAGATGGCATATTTTGTTAATGATTACTATTATTTTCAACAGTCAGAAACAAAAAAAAACAAAAAACTGCCACCTGACAGCAACAGTGCAAGTCCCATTGTCTATTCTAAAAAGAAATTGAAGAAAATAAGGTTATCCGGATTTATTGCCATGTCATAATAAATGCCCCAACATATGTGGCAGCAAGTGTTAGTCGGCTTTCTTCCTCATGATAACAAGTGAATGTACAGCTTACCTTAAGTCCAAGCATCGACCCGGTGGGCGGGGGGATCAACAGCCAATCCACCGCCCTCACCAAAGGCATGCTTTCAATAAAAATTAAGAACAACAGGAGAAAAAATGGTGGCGAAAACAATTCAGAAATTTTATCAAGCAAGAATAGTCAGCCACTAAATCATGAGAATACTGACGAGACACTTTCGCATCTAGCCAAAGAAGACATTCAATTTTCCCCTTTTTCTGATTTTTCTTTCGAAACAGGACCATCATATAGGTTAGAATGATTAGGACAAAATGTGTAACTATGGGCAAACACACTGACGAGTAGGAGGAGAAAAAAAAGAAAAAAAAAAAAAAAAAAAAAAAAAAAAAAAAAAAAAAAAAAAAAGAAGAAAAAAGGCTCAATGAACAAATCACAAATTGGAGATACCAAAAATCAAAGTACAAAATTTAAATATCTAGGCAGAGTTTTCATAGAGGATGGAAAGTGCGAAATCTGAAGGCACACCGGAATAGCCAAAAGCTAAGCAAAGTATTAAGATACAGAAAAATTTTAAAACAAAGAAAAGAGAACTGAACTGCTATGTAATATCAGTCCTCTTGTATGACAGTGAATGCTGGACAATCTCCTCACAAATGAAGAGGAAACTTGAAGACTCAGAAATGTGGCTCTACAGAAGGATGCTGAGGATACCATGGACCAAACATATGACTAACAATGAGATTTAAGAGAAAGTAGAAACAAAAAGGACACTTATACCTAGTATCAGGAAGAGACAATTGAAGTTTCTGGGGCACATAATGAGGAAAGAGGGCTTAGAAAATCTGATACACACAGGATAGATTGAAGACAAGAGGGACAGGAAAACAAAGCATAAATTACTTAATGAGCTTAAAAACAAAATCTATTAAGAGCTACAAAGGGCAGAATATTTTGAAGAGCCATAATTGCCTACATTCTGAAGGGACATGGCACATAGAAGTAATTTGGACCAGCATGTCTATCTTGGTTGGTATATGCATAACATTTCAGTCATTTTTACCTTCCAGCCTTCTTCAGGTGTTTGTAGAGTAATTTTCTTAGAATTTCAAACCCTTTATTCAATCTTCAGGAATGGATTGTTCTTATTGTGCTTTCCATTCTTAGAAGAGATAACTCATCAGTTAATACTCACCAAGCTTACTCACCTTTGTGCTACTTTTTTGCTTGACAAGTTATTGTTTGTGCCTTGAGAAATGAATATTATTTTTTTTAAATTCCACATTACAAAATTTAAAGACACTTGAAAAAAAGCGGGAAGGTATAATGACCAAAATGTTATGAGTATGACAACATGATCCGAACAGCAAATCATGTACAGGTCTCTCTCTCATATCTATGGATATTGGGGGGTGCAATTGGAAAGAAGCACAGAACATGAAAACAGAACAGAGTTCAAATTCCAGTCAAGATTGTTACATTTAATTTAGCACAAATACCCTTGGAAAAAGTAAGAATCTATTTCCTCTCTCCCAGCTATGGATAAAATAGTATAGCAGACTGGGCACTTCAGCCTTGGATGACAACCAATCCAAGAAAAGAACAATTTTGAAAAAACTGTGACTGATGCTATTACTGGTCATCTTCAGCATCCTTGTTACTGAATCATGGTAGTTAACATTCAGAGAGTTGTACCTCACTATAATTTCACTAAATTATAAGTACTTCCTTACATGTAAGAAAGTGGTCATGCTGGAAATTGAATTGAAAATAGACACTCATTACATCTATTTCAATGTTTCATCAATTCACAGTTGAATAGGTTTGATGTAACTGTAACTTCTATGCTAACAGTTTCTTTTCTTGCACTTCTCACCTGTGGAACTCTCTTCAGTCTTCTTGCTTTCCAGCCAATTTTGATCTTCAAAAATTCAAATGCAATGTCAGTTATTACTTACAGTCCTCTCGATTATTCTCCCATTGTTTGCAGTCCTTGATAATATTTCTCTTTTTTTCTCATTCTTTCACTCATTAACCCTGTGTTTTAGTGGCTTTACAGCCTTGCATGGGGTGATATGATAAAAAAAAAAAAAAAAAAATGTTAAAATACTTGAAATTTCCACCTTATTTCTGGGGGAAAATGTTTCAAACTGAAATTTGATGCAGGTGATTAAAAATGTAAAACAATAGTGTCCAGCGATGACATTCAGTATGAAGAAATAGGTATTTTGGATAAAGGAATTTGAAGAATAAAAATCTATTCTTCAAAAGAATTTTTGCTACTGAAGTATCTGCTCTAACTCAGTATCTGTCTATATTTCTGAGATGAGGTTATTATGTACACTTTTACATTATTTGAACTATTGTCCTCATCTTTCTTGCCATATTTATTACAACGTTTTGCCATCTGGGGAACTTCAGGTGGTTGAAATATTCATTTACCCTTTATTTTTTAGCTCACTGGGGCAATATGTTCTATTTCCATGTGCCAAGTCTAATGGATGTCAGTTATCAGTTATCTCTTGTTAATTCCCTCTCCAAGTTCTCCACCGCCTTAACCAGGTATTGAACTAACTGTGCCATGTTTCCTCAAGGACACATGGCACAGTGGATAAAGATGACAGGGCCCAAAGAGTGTGAGTTCAATACCCAGTTAAGGCAGTGGAGAACTTGGAGAGGGGATTTAACGGGAGATTACTGATAACGAACATCCATTAAACATGGCACGTGGGACTAAAACAGTCTACCCCAGTGAGCAAATAAAGGGTTCAGTTCAACATTCTAACCACCTGAAGAAGGCCGGAGCATACAACGGCTGAAACGTAATAAATATGGCGACAAAGATGAGGACAATAATCCAAATAATGTAAATAGTGCTCTAACTCAATATTTCAGTTATGTTTCTTCCTGTGGGTCACTGGTCCTAATAATTCAAACTAGATTGAAGTGAATAAAGAAACATAAAACCCCATAAATAATCTAAATCCAAGGTATTGTCACTCCTGATGAAGGAACACCCCACCGCCCCTCAACTGACCATGCCTTCAAGGATTTAGCCATACTCACCACGATTGCAGGATGGTGAGGCTATTTAATCTATAGTCAGGGTGGATGACAACCAATTCTGAGGATTTCATCCACCTTTAGCACATCTTGGTATTTTGCTGCTGGGGTTTCACTTACCCAGGGTCTTATAGAGGAACTCGTTTAGTCACTGAGTTCATGATCAATCAGGTTTTGAATTCAGAGTTGTCCATCTCTTAGGCCAGTTACCACTCAAGGCTATGTGCCAGTCTGTCCTTTTATTTATCCATAGCTGGAGGGAGAACGGATGGATTCAAGTTTATTTGCACATATGTAAATGTAACAAACTTGAACTGTTCTAATTCCTCCATCCACCCAACTGTTTTTTTTTAGCGTTAAATCAAAATTAAAGTCCCTCTGCATTTAAAATATTGGTAAAAATTTGATTAAAGAGTATAACATTAAGGCGGGGGGAGTGAAAAAAGATTATCTTACCGCTGAAAAAAGCAATTGCCAGCCACAGGACTTTAAGAGTTCAAAGTAAAAAGCAGTAGATATATGTGGAAGAGGTGCCATAATAATCAACATATCATCTTTGCAAGGTGCATCCTGATAGAATTCCTCAGTTGTGTCCTGCAACTTTTCCTGACAGAAGAGTTTAAGAAACAAAACCAGGTGCAAATTGAAATGCCAGTGCTGCTTAATTAAAGCAAAATTCTCCTCTCGAATTCCGCAACAAACATCTTCAACAGCCCCACGAATAATATGTGCAAAACGACGAGCATCCTTCTTAGACAAGTTCACCAGTTCAAGTTTAGCAGATGACACCTAAAAAAAAAAAAAAAAAAATAAACAATAAATGATCATTATTTTTTTTTTTTCATTGTTATCCTATCCATAGGGATTCAGCCATTTTTTAATGTACTAAACAAGATTAATTTGCAATAGTATTAATTGCACATAATCTCTAATTATTCACAATCTAAGAGTTATTGAATTATCATATTGCTCTTAGATCAGGGAAGAATATTCAATCAAGTGGTAATTCAGATTTATTTCATTTTTGAACATGCATACAAAAAATAATCTAATAGTTGCTAAAAAGAAAAAGAAAGATTAAAATTCTTAAAAAAAAAAAAAAAATGTACACATTTGGGAATGGCATTAAACTTTACATTTTTTGTTTCTTCAAATGTGTTTATTTAATAAAAATAAAAAGAATAAAACCAAAAAAAAGAAAAAACACTGGTGACAAGCAGCAGCAAGTTGAATTTCTGAATCACACTGAAAAATTAAAAGTAATTTTTGAAAACAAAATTAAGTGTAGTTTTTTTTTTCTGTTCAGTCTGAATAGTGAGTTTGATGCTCACTGGGCACCCCATATTTTCAACCTTGTGCCACATCTAAGCTATGCTTAGAAAATTATCTTTTTTTAGCACCACAACAGATGGCTTTTAGTCATGTCATGGCACAAATGCATTTTTTAATATGGAGGTAGGTGTTTATTTAAGCTATTGGCAGCTTGACTGACAGATGTTTATCTAATTTTTTCTACAGTGAACTGCAAAAATTCCTTGAGGAATATAGCATAAGTGTTTTTTTTTAATATAATTTTTAACTGCCTAATAATATTAAAAATTTAGGAAAACATTCTCCATAATTTAATGTTTTATTGAATTTTAGTTATTTTGGTTTTAAATTTACCATAGTTATCACTCTTATTTTCTGATAATGACCTGTAGGGACATGCATATTTACAAAAATTGACATGTTTATATGCAAAAAAATAAATTAAAAATTTTTTTTAAAACATATGGTGTGGGCTGAATTATCGAAAGCATTTCTAATTATGATTAGTAAATATAGGTTTTTACAAAATTGAAAGAAACTTGTACAATACAGAAATGTAAAAGATTTAAATCTTTCTAGATGACTCAAATTAAAAAAAAAAAAAAAAAAAAAAAAAAAAAGGAAACAATTCTTGTAAAAATTAATTATTCAAAAAAAAAAAAAATAAAAAAAAAAAAAAAAATTTTCTTACGAAAATAGTGACCATGACATATCTTATTCATAAAAGCAATTAAAAGCTTTTCTAATTAAATAATGTCTTAGTTTTATTGCATTTTTTTTATTTTTCAATTCAGAGCAGATTTTCACTAGCTGGGGATCTATTTTTTTATAAGAATAAAAATTTTTTAATTTTGTTACCTCCACTAATTCAGTATAAGGTTTAAAATGAATTTTTAAAAATGAAAAAGCTTTCTTGAAGCTTTCATTGAAAGTTAACAGATTTAAAATTTGCTATCTCCAGTAAGCAAAATTATGTATTTCAAATAGAAATTATATTGATTAGAATCATTTTCTTTTTCCTCAAAATAAAATAAAAAATGATAAAAATAGCCATTTTGTCACATTTGTAACGAAGTTAATTCTTGGTTTAAAAAAATCTTGCAAAAATAAAATATACATTTCTGAAATGTTATTTGAGGAAAATTAGCAAATTTAAAGTTAAATTAATCTGATTTGAAACAAATATTACTTATAGCATAAAATATTGTAAACAAGCATTTCTTAACTATGGTGTCTTGTTTTTCTGACATGTTAATCAATTTATTGACAGCCAAATAACCACCAAACTTGTTTATAGTTAAGTATGGTGGTGCAGACAAAGTTTATATTAGGGCTTTTTCCCCCGTAAAGGGGGAGGGGGACAACCCTTAAAACACAATCTTAATAACAATGTTATAGGTCTGAACATCCATACTTCAGAAATTCTGCACGTATATATCAAAAACAAATTCTTTAAAAAATATTTTAGGTCGTCAGATTGGAATAAGCTTTATGATTAGTAAATATAATTTTACTTACTTAAATAACAATATTTCCTAAGAGTTATCACAACGAAAATGAATTTTAAAAGATTTAAAATCTTTATAAATTATTCAAAAAAATTAAAACAAATCTTGCAAAAATTCATTTTTCTTTCTAAATCTTTTTCTTTAAGACAATATTGTCTTTATTCATAAAAGCAATTAGAAGCTTCTCTAATTAAATAATGTCTTATTGCGTTTTTTTTTATTTTTAGATTCAGAACAGATTTTTTTCGGTATGATGTTGGTCCAATTTTGCAAAATAAATAAAGAAAATCGGTGATTTAAATTCTTCAAAGAATTTTGTTTTTATTAAAGTCACTAAAAAAAAATTATCACGTTGACTTTCTCAAGTTTTCATAAAATTAACAGAACTTATTAACTTAAGTGAGTGAGTGAAACACATGTAAAAAAATGTTTTTAACCAAGATTTTCTAAGAAGGAAGCATTTCTAAAATAATTTAATTCATTTGTGAATAAATCCTGAAAGTTTCATTAAAATCCAACAATTATTTCCTTTTTTACTACAATTTCCAAGTCAATGAGTTTTAAACCGAAAAAATGACGATAAAATTTCTTAAATGTTTGATTCACTCGATGACGCAAGAAAAACAAAATTTTGATCGTTCTAAAAGAACGAAAAAAATTATATAATCAATCCTTTGGTTTTTCCACTTAATAAATTTGTTTTATTAAGGTTTGGGTATATTTTTTTTTCAACGTGCTGATTTGTGGCGGTAAATATGAACATGGCACAATCTCTAAATCTATAACAAAGCAACATTTTTCGATTCTAACAAGTGCCACAGCTAAAGTAAAGTAAAGCTTCTTTTAAAAAAAAAAAAAAAATTAATTAATGAACCAGTCTAGCTAATTTACCCCACCAAAAAGCCTTTCCTTTTTTTGACCCATGCGTCCAGCTTCGGTTCAAAATTCTAGAACAGTAACGAGCCCGACGACAGACACCTAAAGTCGGAGGGGACAACAACTGAAACTAGAGTATAACAACCAAGAGTACTTCCCTGGTCCTAATGAAAAGATAATGATAATTGCTTATCTCAAAAAGTTGTCAGAAATTCTAGTGAACTAAGTTTTCTGTCAAAATATTTTGCTCGTTGTATGAAAATTTGGTCCGAATGCTTGTATGAAATATTTTTAAAAATATAGTAAAATAGGTAATTACTTACTTCTTTTTCAAAAAGCTGAAAGGCTGCATGAAATATAGCATATTCTGCAGAATATTTCATCTTCTTTTCGTTTTTGACTTGACTTTCCGAGTTTGTTTTTCTTTAATTGAACTGAAAGTTAAACTTTAACAGATAGGGACATAAAAATAATCAGCACCGCTTTTACCAAGGGACGTAATTTAAGTTTAAATACGGTGTAAATGGAGACCCTACTTATGTGGATTTTATTCTATCTAGCTAGATATATATATGTAAAACATACCTAAGATTAAAATATATTTAAACAAATGTAAAATCTTTCGTAAAGCATTAATTTTGTTTTTTTAATTCTAAGCTGATAGATTAATTTTTTGATATAAACAAAAAAATCATTTCAAAATGTATTTCAAAACAATGTCGTGTCCATAAACAAAAAATGAATTATAGTGGCAAAAAAATAATTATAACAGTTATAAATTATCATTAATTCACTATTTCTACTAAACTAATGAAAATCAACTCCACTTTTCTCCTCTACAAACACAAACAAGTGATATTCTTACTATCGGCCAAGCAGTCAACACAGACAGACCATCAACAAGTGTCTGTGTATCAATGAAAGAAAATTTTGGCACCTTTTCTTTTTCAGGCTGCTTGAGTCTGCTTATCGGCAGAATACAGTGGCCACTATTATTTTTCTGTTGGCTGGACGGGTCTTAACATGTTTTATTTTTAGTTTGAGTGTTTTATTGTACTTTATTTTTGTTATTGGGTTCATTCCCCCCCTCCTCATTTTATGTCATATATTTTTATATATTTTTGTAAAAAAAAAAAGAAAAATGGGAAAAATCAATAAAAGACAATTTTATATGACCAAATGTTTATATAATGAGTGTTTTAGTAGGATCCCTGTGAATATGCGGTATTGTGGTATATGTTTGATTGAATGGTGATGGATGACATCTTATGGTGATTGTCGATTGTAAGAATGGTCGTGAATCAGATTAGCTGGGTATAGGATAGTCAGTGATAACCAACCCTTCGCCACTTCCCCTTCAGACTTATGCCACAACTGCATTTTTAAATACAATAAATAAACTTTTCCTTTTCAGGCCATAATGATAATGTAGCATCCCTCTACCACTTCCTTACCAATGTATAATTTTGTACATTTTTGTGCCTTCTCAGCTTAGTAAATATTTTCAGGAAATATCAATGCCAACCAATCAGATTGTCCGCATGTGAAGAATAATTCTTCCTGCACAGCAATCTTGATCCTGTCACGTGATTACATTATCTATAAATAGCAGACACGAGTTCGCTCATTCTCTCTTACTCTCTCCTTTCTTCATTTGCCTAAGAAGATGTGAAATTCAGAATTCTCATCTTGACCATGGATGGTCAGATGTTAAAAGCATATTCATGCATTCACATACGTACAAACTTTTCCAACTTACATCACAAACATACAGAACATTTCCAAACATGCAACAAGAACTTTTCTCTTTGAAATATTCTTCTAAAACTACAGTTTAATAATTAATCCAACTTTTGTGAGTACAGATAAAAATGTTCCCAGTCTAAGAGACATAACTCCAACAGATCTTTAACTTCTACACATGTACATCAACACACGAATAAATACAATGTTATATTTTAAAACCATTTTGTTCCTTCTTGTATTTCATGCTTTGTGGTATTTTACGTTTAATATAAATTGTGTGGTCATGTTATTCACGCAGCCATAAATAGACATCTACAATTGTCCATTCTTATTACCAAGCCACTACAATAATGGTAACTCCGACGTCTGAAACAACTAGACCACCACAATAACATTTATCTCTTAGCACTCAACAAAATTTGAGGTAAGAAAACCCAGACATATCTTGTATTTTTCTAACTAAATTATCTGGATGCACATTACAGACATCTATAAAGACAAAACATATGAGAAAGACTCTTTTACATATTTTACATATTCTTTATCTTATCATTCTGTCAGATTCCAATCCATATTTGATCGACATTTGACCCCAAAAATCACAATTTCACTCTCACTATTACTGTCTCTCATTTCTTCAATGTCACATAACAATCAGATAATAAATAATACTTGTTTTATTGTTTCCATGTCTTGCTGTTTCTCATTTTTATGATTATAATTATTTATAACTCCCCATAACAAATTTAAATTGATTGAAATCTTTTCTACTTATCTATAAATTCGTCCATATTGATATATCTGTCAACAGAAAATAATTCTCATTATTAAAATATCTTTTAAAACTAAAATGTACTTTTCTAAAACATTATTTGAGAAGAGTTAGTTGATTTAAAATTTAATTGAATTAAATTATAATCATCTAGGTATGCCTGATACATGTACATTTTAGAGAAGTGTATTTAAAAGAAAACCCAAGAGTTTATGAAGAATTGTTACATTTGTCTATAAAAAATTTCTATTTTTAGAATTGGCTGAAAAAACACCAAAAATATTTTGGCCAAAGTGTATTTTTCAAATTGACTTTTCAAATTTAAAAACTTATATATATTATTTCTATTTATTATCCAATCAAAAGCATGGGCTTATGCACATATAAATTTGAAGTTAAGGCCACTGGGGCTCCTTCAATTATTATATAAAAGAAAGGCCAGTTGATAATCTTTAGAAGATAATCAAATTACAAAGCAGAAGGTAATATACCTTTTTGGCCTTTTTAATGTTGGACAGTCTCCACAAAGATGAAGAAGAGACTAGAGCCATCGTCAGCATGGATCTACAGAAGGATGCTAAGGATATCATGGACCGAGCGTGTGAGCAACGATGATGTTTTGAAGAGGATGCAAACAAGGAGGAAGCTTATACATAACATCAGGAAGAGGCAGCTGAAATTTCTGGGACACATAGTGAGAAAGGAGAAAGGTTTGGAGAATCTGATACTTACAGGTTGAATAGAGGGAAAGAGAGACAAAGGAAAATAACGCATGACATACCTGGCAGGCTTGAGCAAGTGGATGACAGAATGTGGGTGGGGGAGGTGGCAGAGTGATGAAACTTATTGAGAGCTACAAAGAATAGAGGGAAGTGGAGAACCATGATTGCCTATGTCCTGAAGGGACATGGCACATAAAAAGAAAAGTCTAAACTAGTGTTGAGGTCTTTTCAGTTTACAGCTGAGCTGGTTAGATGTAACCCTAAATTCTATGCTAAGTTTCTTTTCTCGCACTTCTTGCTCATGGAATTCCCCTCCAACCAACTTTAATCTGCAAAAATTTAAATGTAATATCAATTGCTATCTACTGTCCACCTGATTACTTTCCTCTTCCCACTCATTATTAATGCTTCTGTTCCTAATTCTTCCACATCTGTAATCCCTTGTGTCTTAGTGGCTTTACTGTTTTGTATAGGATGATAGCAATTTAAAAAAAAAAACACGTCGTCAAGGAAGAAGTAACTAAATGTTTCGATCAAGACAGAAAATGAAGTGATATGAAAATTTTGTCCTGAAGGCAGAACGATATTGATCCAGAAGGTAAAGCAATTTTTGGTTGCTATCTGAGGAGCATATATAAAAAGCAACTGAAACCTGTGAATAGAATTGTGTTTTATAAAAGATATATTGTTAAGTCTCCATGACACCTGTGGAATTTGCTTAATCTTCCTTCCTTCCTTCTGTTGTATTTATGTCTGTCGATTTGGTTGGTGCAATGTTTCTTGAAAGAGTATTTTATGCTTTATTCAAAGTTTGCATTACCTTCTCAAAGTTTTTGCCATTTTTTTCAAAGATTGTTTTGTAAATCTTTTAAGATTGTAGGGATATAAAAAGCGATTATCTCCCTTTCATTAAGATAAAATCATGAGGGTCATGTGATAGCTGGTAAGGGCTGATGCCAGGAAATAAAACCAGTTGTGATGTAAAGCCTGGAGAAGGAGGACATCCCTAGCCCACAGCGGTAGATCTTATAGGGAAAAACCACATCACTTCACCAGGTACATAGAGGATCCACTGTACCTCCAACTTTGTCTTCAGGAAAATATTATAAAGATTCTTTCTTTTCACACTGATTGCTGTTGTAGACATGTGATATAGCTTCTTTGCGTAGAACACATGTAAATGTGTTTATAATTGGTTGTATAACTTAAAGCCCTCTCGAAGAACAAAGCATGTTTGTTATTCTTTTTCTTTCAGCTATTCCGTCCCATTCATGTGCCCACAACAGGGGAAATGCAACCTGAAAATAAACCTTTCTTCTATGTCTCACCCACTAAGATCATTTATATATTTCTGATATGTTATCCTGCCCTGTTTTTTAATAAGGCACACAAAAAGAAATTTTTGTGCAAGCCCACTTTGTAAAATGTTGTATTTTGTAATATATATTGTTTTAATGTTTTGTAATAAATGTTTTTTTTCCTTTTAAATTTTATATAGTAATCACAAGACTTATTTGTATGTGCCCTTCTTAATATTCAGGATAAGAGAGTGGATGTACTCTCTTTGTCCATTCCCACCAAGGAAAGAAATCTTTTTAAGGAGAACAAAACTGAATAAAATCACTTAACGAATATAACATTATTTTATTTAACTACCACATAATTTTATAAATTTAAGAACATATTTTAAGCTGTCTAAAATTTTACTGAACTTTTTATAGACATGCTTCCAAAGATGATTGTTGAGAAAATATTAGAAAATTACCAATAAATTTAAAATTTATTATAGGTACCTTTCTTTAATTTCTGATAATGTCATGTGGATGTCTATATTTACAAAAATCAACACCTTTATATACACAAAGCAAAATTTCAAAATTGTTTTTAGAATCCTGGAGTTTGTTGCATTTTAGTTAGCTTTTCCATTTGTGATAAGTAAATACATTTTTAATTTAATAACAATATCACTTGGATACTACAAATTAATGCAGAATTTTAAAAAATTTAAAAGCTTATAAATTATTCTAATTAAAATTTTTAAAAAAATGTAAACAATTCTTGTAAAAATTCATTATTACTCAAGAAAAATTTTTAATGTCCATAATA